TCCAATAGTGTTATAATTATTTCAGAAGGCTGGTACCAGTACACCTGTTTCATTCCATCAGCCTCTGAGTCTGCATGCATGGAATCTTGTCTTCAACAGACCCTGGTGGTGCATCTCTAGGCATAAAACATAAAAGACAATGCAGGTGCTTAGCACGACTCTAATCGACATAGTAAGATCCAGTCTACCTTTCAAGGAGCATGCTTAAAACTTGGAGGTGAATTACATGGTACTGCAACATTATTGAAGAATAAATCATGGTTCTCGGAGTAAAGGCATAGCCTACTCTTCCATAGGGTTGGACTCCTGGGCTTTCATCTGCTCAACCTCAGCTACTGCTTCTGACATCATGGACCTGCTCGACTCCATTGATGGGGCATGCTCTGCAAGCTTCATTGCCAGCTTCATCCACTTCTCTGCCTCCTCAAATCGCCGGAAACGGGCAAGTATAGGTGCTCGATTCCATGCAGTTGAGATCAACCAGTGCAGCTCATCCTTCGGGTATGCTTCAGCTGGCAGACCAACCAGGAGCTGGAATGCTTCAGTGTACAGATCATAGACTTGCACACCATCCCTGGTTTGAATATCGGCCAGAGATATGAGCTTCCGATACATTGCCGCTACCACCCTGTAGTCAGGCGACTTGCTGGTCATCATCAGGTGAAGTCCTGCACTGAATGCTGCACTTGCCACTGTGCTGTCTGCATAATCACGTGCTGAATGCAGGCCCATCTGGAAAAAGTGCTCAGCCTTGAAACCAGGCATGGCTCTGCATCTTTCAATGATCTCCTGCTGCCCCTTGCAATCTTTCTGCCGGCCTTTCACATCAAACATGAGTAGTTGGAAAAAAGTGCCTGAGGTGTCTTGCCCTTCGGCCTTGCATTTGCTCATTATCTGCGATGGAACCTTGTTAGTCACAGGGCCGAGCAAAGGCGGGAGGAGGGGTACGGGAGGGAGGAAATACTGGGAGTACGTGGAGTATACACACCTTTTGACACTTCTCAAGTGTTGTTGCCGCCTTGTTCATGCTGGCTTCACTAGCATCGCCATCAGCCAATAATGCTGCTCCACCCAGAAGCAAAGAGAGCTTCGTTGATTGCAGAGTCTCTTGTGTCTCTGGCAGCAATGGAAAAAGTTCAGCCGCACAAGCCAGGAAAGACGCGCATGCTCCCCACATTTTATGCTTTCCAGCTTCAATGCCATGGTTCCATGCTGATGCAGCGAACCAGCTTGCCTCCTTGAGTCCAGCAGGAGGTTCACCAAAGAATCCTTCAGTACCAATAGCTCCAGCCCTGGTGATTGCGACTTGGAAAAACTCGAGAGCTTCAACCATATTTCCGACTTTCTCAGTTACCAGGGTGATGATGTTCCTGATCACAACCGCTTCGACCATTCCAACTTTAGTTCCAGCAGATATAAGCTTCTGCAGCTGACGAAGTGCTTGAACAGCAACCCTGCTCTGCCCACTTGCCACGGCCTCATGTGATGCCAATGCGAGGTAATCAGGCTCAAAATCCTTGCAGGATAACATCTTTTCGACATCATGGGCTGCCTTGGACTCGTTCTTTTGTTGAAGCGATATTTTATACTGCAAGAAGTTGTTGGTTATAAAGGGAATTCGCTGGATAAGTTCATGCCTACCATAAAACATACCTTCAAGAAGACCGAGGCAATGCAGGGATCAATCTGCAAAACGAGAAAGGTCCATGTTAGTGTATGGTTCTGTAAGCTTTACAGCGACATCATTTTCTCACCTCTTCAGCCAGCTGAATGCACTCAGAAGCTCTATCATACTGAAGCAACCCCATGTGACAGAGACAAATAACACGGAGTGCTTTAGCGCGTTGCTCTTGCCTGCCGTCGTCAAGATAAAGCAGACTCGTTTCGAACAGCTTCACACTCATGGTGTAATTCTTTCGCGAGAATTGTTCAGAACCGCTGCAACAGCCAGATTAGGAAAGTCAGAAGATTGACACAACTCGTTTCGAGGAGAAAAACGAATGCGAACAATACCAGTTCCAGAAAAGCGCGTGGACGCTATGTTGATCGCTGCTGTCATCGTGAACCAAGACTCCCAAGCTTTTGCTCTTTGATATCAAGGATGCCACCACTCTGTCGTCCTGTCCTATCTCAATGGCTGCTTCCACACACGCCAGGCGCGACGCTCCTTGTTGGACAAGAGTGGTAAGAAGTTGACGCGAGAATTTTCCACAGTTGGGAAATTTGTTCAGTGTGTTGAAGAATGCCGTTTTAGCAGCTGAAACTGAACTCGAGCTTCCCGACGCTATGATGACTTCGATTGCTGCACCCACAATATCGACTTTGGCTGTGTCTCCCTCGGTGAGCTTAGATAGTACTTCTTCAGCTGCATCATGCTTCCCAAGTGCAGAAAGAGCCTTCAATTCCAAGAAAGGGACACTCGGATGGATGGGGAATCCTGACTTGAGAATCGACGTGCACTTGAGTGCGTCGTCGTAACGGCCAAATTGGACGTGAGCTCCAGCCAGATATCTCAATGTGCGGTCGCGGAGATCCGCCATTGCCTTCTTGCAGGCAGTCTTTCCTTCGAACTGCAAACTGACAATGCCGTCAGAACATATTTCGAAAGCTTTCTCAAAGTAAGGCGTTGCGTCCACTGCGCTCTCAGAACCAGACGATCCGTTCAAGACAGCCTTTCCAAACTGGAGGTACATATCAGCAAGCTCGACGGATTTCTCTGGCAGCTGTGGAAGTAGAAGCACAGCGCGACCCAGAATGTTACTGGCCAGCGCAGTCTGTTTGACTTCCCATGAAGCTTTGGCCCTGGCGACGTGAACGTCGAAACTTAAAACTGTTAACTCATGCTGAATGGCAGGATCGTCGTCCTTGATTACGTCCTTGGCCTTGGTGCAGAGTTCAGTAGCCTTCGCCAAGCAGGCCTCCGCGGTCTCAAACCGACTAAGCTGAATCCACAAGCAGCCCGTTTTCTGAAAAAACATTGCAATCTTTAAAAGGCTGGAGTGTACGGCAGTACTCTCTCCAGCGGCCAGAAGGACGTCAGCGGCAATGTTCCGGAGTCTGGCATTCTTCTCCTTTTCAGACGTGGTTAGCTCCTTTCTGTTGGATATGTCCACACACGCGTTCCATATTCGGTAGCTGAGCTTCCAGAGCTCTGTTGTCTTTCCAGCATCACAACTAGACGAAATTGCTTTAGCTGCTGAAGCGAGTGCATCAACTTTGTTCTGTCCAAATGAGCTTGGTCCTTGTTCCAGCTCCTCAACCAGACGCTCGAACTCATTCGATTCATTAGGAGGAGCTTCAGCGGACTCCATCATGTCAGGTGTTAGCTCATGTATCATCATGGTCAAACTTCAGGAACCAACAGCAAGAGATAAGAGGAATGGGTTCAGCAAGCAGAACCAAATTCGACTAGGATCATCAGATTCAGGAACTGTTGCAACCAAAATGGACTTCTGGTGCTGTTTGTTTGAACCTGCCTGAACAACGGAGCCCTGCCGCGACTTGGGTTGATGTCCTTGAAGTTGGTGAGATTCAAAAATTCGCGGTGGAGCACCACCGCCCTCAGGTTTCCCGCCACTTATCCAGAAGAGGCTTCCAGTGCCCGAAGCCAGTCACAACTGCGTACGCGTTGAGAGGGTCACTCGATAAAAAAATCAACAATCATATCGAATTCCTGAACCACAATCTCACACTAGCAACCGCGGCCATGCATTTTCCCGCGTCACCTGATCTGCTCCCCCCTGGCCTCCATTGGTCATGTGTGCCCTCCACAACCGAATCCAGTCTTCGGCACGCAGGTTGGTCCGCTTGGTGCTGTTGCTGCTGCTGATGGTGTCAGAAGGAAGCCTAGGTTCCCATCCACGCTTGACTGATCATATACATTTGGAGCATTTGGTGATCGCGATGGATTCCTTTCCACGGCTGTTTTCAGTCCTTTTTAGCATGGCGGCTGTCCGTTCGATATTAATCGTCGTCGTCGTTTAAAACCGGGGTCACAAGTTGCCCCAAAGTCACAACCCTCCTCTAAGTAACCACGATGCTGGTCTAGTTTGTCAGCTACCCACTTTCGTGATAAGATCGTTGAGATCTTCAGCGAGCAGCACATCTGGCCCGTTGAGCCGAGAGTTTTTGTTGGGTTTCCAATCGTATGCCATTAGTGCTTTCACGACAAACATCGACAGACACTTGCTCAGGTTAAGAGACTAGATCGACACTCTTTCATATAGGAGCATATCTTTCTCCAGCCTCCCGCTTCTGCGGCCCTCTCATAGGCATTGTCCCCGTCCAAATTGAAGACTAGCTAGCCGTGTCGCCTCGCACGCTCTGTTCTCCCCAATCACCAGCGTATCGACGAGATCTTTATTTCCCCGCGAGTGTCGGATTAGCAGCCTCCATTAACACACGAGCAGCCGCCATGGAGGCGTGGCTCGCCTCGTGCGTGTCACGCTCGCTCTCTCTCCACTGCGTGCGGAATGCGACTTTCTTAGCGGAACGCCTCTGCGCATCGTTCCCGAACGAGGTAAAGGCTTATTATGGATCCCCGTTACAGGTCACACAGCTGCTATGGAACGCATAAGTATTCCGGAATGGATCCTCGTTAGTCACAGCTGCTATGAAATGCATACACCTACTCGATTAGTCGCAGACTCACTGCAACAGGAATAGATGCGTGTATTTTAAAGAAATCTGTGAGGCCTATCGTGGATTTACAGGTTATACAGCTGACATAAAAGGCATACACATTTTTAGATGGTCGCAGAATCACGCAACAGGCATAAATGCGTTTATGCCAGAAAATATAAAATGATGCCGCTGTCTAAGGCCTCAATTTCATTCGTTTCTCTCAGCTGTCCTTTGTGCCGTTCCACTGCAACTTATTGCTGTATTCTCCGTGGGTGGCTTGTTCCGCAGCCCAACTTCCAGTTACTGGCTTCCTGCTACTTGAGGGCTAACAAGCCTCTGCTTGCACGACATGTTCTCAAAGGTAGATTTGGGACATGCTGCCTCTCGCAACAAGAATTTCTGTTAAATTTGGACTGCGCTGCATGCATCTTGCCACCTTGTCAAATTCTTGCCCTGGCACTACTTGTTGAATCTCTTGCTCTCGTGAACTTGCCATCCCCGTGTTCACATCCCTTGGTTCTTACAATTCACCATCGTGGATCGTCTTGGATTCATCAATCATTCTCAATCCAGCACCTATCATCGTGGATCATCATTTAACCCAGCACCTAATCAACCCATTTCTGCCGTTCAGGGCTGCCGTCCGACCAGAGCCGTTACCTGCTGGCACTGGCGTGTTACGACCTGCAGCTGCTCACAGAAGCTGAAGCAGCCCTGCAGCCCAATTCCACGTCCATGATCCTACCTCCCTCTCTCCATTCCCTCATCGCCTCCTCCTCCTCTCCTGCCTCCTCGCCTTCCGCTGCCTCGGCACAGCGATCTCATGAGGTGAGCGATCTCAGCACAGATTTTCCTTGCGAGTCCCGCTCACGTCTCAAGGCAGCATGCATCTGGATAAATCTGGTATATAAACCACTCTTCCTCGGTTCCTCCTCTGCTGCCGTTCGCCTGCTGCAGCCGCAGGTGCCCAATGGAGCAGCAGGCCTGTACCTCCTTGGGCTCATCTGCAAGTGAGTATCACGCTTTCACTTTTGACCTCTCTCATGCTCGTTTCCTGCTGCCCTTCCATCCGTGGTCGCTTCTCCTCGTACCCTCACTCACACTCACTCATCCTCCTCCCCTCGTCCCCCCGCTGTGTGAACGGCAGAGCTACTAACCGGCGTCAGGTGGCCATTCGCCATTTCACATCCGCCCTTGCACTGGACCCTTTCTTCTGGTCTGCATACGAGGAGCTTTGCATCCTTGGTACTCCACCCTCCTTCCCCTTCCCCCGCTCCTGCACGCGCTTCTGTCTCTTTCCCGCCCCAATTATCCAGTCTGTGTCTCGTTTCTGTCTATTCTCCTTCCCCTGCCCGTCCTTTTGCGCTTCTCCAATTATCTGCCGTTCTCTTCGCTGCTGCTGCTGCAGCTGCTGCTGGTGCGTCCACCACATTCTCCACTGTTCCTCGCTCGTTTAACACCTCCTAATCGTTCTCATTCCTTCAGGAGCGGAAGCAGAGGCGTCACAGGCATTCAACGAAACCGCTGCCCTGCACATGGAGCAGCAGCAGCAGCAGCAGCAGCAACAGAGGGTCCAACACGAAGTGTCATCCCAGCAGCAGCAGCAGCCACAGCAATATTCTCAGCAGCAGCAGCAGCAGCAGCAGTCAGGACAGGGTCACGAGCAAGTGCAAGAGGGGATGGCACCACCGCAGCAGCAACCGGCACAGCAAGGGTTGAATGCGGCTTCAAACTATGTGACACCTCCTGTACGTATTACTGTTGGGAAGCCCGAGCTTGGGAAACATGGTGGTTTTGTTTCCTTAACATGGTGCAGTAGCCCTTTGGTCCCTTTGCTGGGCTGTCGTGTCCGGTGCTGTGCACAATCTCAATCTCAATCACAACAACGAACCTCCCCCGCTCCAACCCCTGCTCTCCCTGACCCCCCTGTGTGTGTCTGTGCGCGTGCGTGCAGGAGGCAGTGGTGAGCACGTGGAAGGACACAGCCTCGCCGCGCACCCCTGCAGGACCTGTGGCGCCGGCTGTGAGTGCTGCCACGCGCATGGCACACCGGCGCAAGATGGTGGACGAAAACAGACTGCGGAACGTGAGTTCGGGGGATGATGGGGTGTGGGGCGGACGGGGGCTTGGTGGGTTGGTGTATCCGTGTAGGGGAAGGAGAAGGGGAAAGGGAAGCGAAGGGAAAAAGCAGAGCGGGGAAGGAGATGTGGAGGAGGAAAGGACGGGTGTGGGGTGGGAGAGGAGGGGCGTTAGGGAAAGAGAAAGGGGTTGCTGAGTGGGGGCCCGAGGGGAGGGTGCAGCTGTGTGAGCGTGGGGTTGGGAGGGGAGGGAAGGAGGAGGTAGGTTGTGCCATACTACCACATGACACATGGGCAGGAGCAGCCACACATTCATCCATACAACTGAAAATGGCAACATCTGGTTCTCGGGACGTTCTCAGATACTTGCGTTGCGTAACTTTTATTCCTGCCCTCCTTGCTCCTCCAGGTGACTGGTCGTCTCTTTGCTGAGCCCAGCACCTTGTGCCGCAGCACTCGTGACTCACCTAGCAGACGAGTTCTGAGTCGACTTCAACGCTTTCCTTCCCCAGGTGGCTGGTCGCCTGTTTGCTGAGCCCAGCACCTTGCGCCGCAGCACTCGTGGCTCGGCGAGCAGTCGAGTTTTGGAGTCCACTGAACCTCTTCCCTTCCCGCCCTCCTTTCCTCCCCCAGGTGGCTGGTCGCCTGTTTGCTGAGCCCAGCACCTTACGCCGCAGCACTCGGCTAGCAGAGGGCGGGGCAGGTGGAGGTGCTGCTGCTGGTGCCGCTGCTGGATCAACTTCGACTGCACGGGGGAGCACCGGGGTCGGAGGAGGCGGAGGGGGAGGGACGAGTAGGAGCTCTGCTGCTCGTCGGACGACGGACGGGTCTAGTCCAGGTGGGAATGGTTTTGCATCAAGTGAAGAGAACGCGAAACACTTACGTACTTGCTTGCTCTAAGAATCTTGAGGTGACCGTTCGATAGTCAGGCTTTCTCGTACATTTTCTGGCCACCCTTCATCTCCCTGCCCCTCTTCCCCTCCCGCCCTGCTCCCCCCCTCTTTCCACGCTTCCCGTCCTCTCCCCTTGTTTTGTACCTAATTTACGTGCCTATCTTCACCACAATGCACCCCTCCTCTCTGCCCCTCCTATCCACGCTCCTGTGCATGCCTCTTCCCTACCTTTGCTGCCACTCACAGGTATTGTTTTTTCCTTTCCCCTGCGTTTGACATGTGTCCCCTGCTCTCGTTCTTCCTCTCTCCTTCTTCGTCCTTGCTTGTTCCTCCCCGTATGTCAGCACGCAAGCCACTTTTGCATTCTATCCCAGCAATGCCTTCTTTGGATCTGGGGAATGACGCTGCACCTCCTTCCAGTGCTGCTGCAGCTGCTGCTGCTGGTGGGGGAGGAGGAGGAGGAGGCAGGGCGTCTACAGCATCAGGTGGGTCTGCCAGTGCTGGTGATACGTGTCTGCTGCTGCTGCTGCTGCTGCTGCTACTTTTGCTGCTGTTGCTGCTGCTGTTGCCGGTCCTTCTGCTGGTTCTCTTGCTGGGTCAGGAGCAGCAGTTCCCTTCGCCTCCCCCCCTGTCACACTTCCCTCCACCCTCCTGTCAATCCCCCATCCGCCACTTTTCAAATCGCAGCTGAGCTTCCCGGAGCAACGCCGCAGGATTGGGAGCCGAAGCAAGTGGCCCGGGAAGAGGACAGGGAGGCTCGGCAGCGGCAGCAGCCTGGGAGAGAAAAGGCGGGAGGGGGAAGCCTTGCCTCCAATGGTGGGGCTTCATCTGCTGATAGTGCTGCAGGAGGGATGGGGGGAGGGGGAGCAGGAGGAGGCGAGGAGGTGGAAGGGAGAGGAGCGTTGGGACGAGGGAGCAGCGGCGCAGAGGGAGGGGGGAGAGAGGGGGAAGGAGGGGATGAGGTGGAGAGTGGGCAAGGGGGGGCGAAGAGTGGCGGGGGAGTGGGGTATGGGGAGGCAGGGGAGGATGGGAGTGTAGGGGGAGGGGCAGGAAAGGGAGGGGAGAGTGGAGCGTTGCTAGCAGTGCGGCTGCTGAAGCAAGTGGGACGAGCTTTCCTGCTGCTCTGCATGATGCGATGCCAGGTGAGGCCTGCGTTGGGATGCTGTGCGGTGCTGTGTGGTGTCATATGGTGCTGTGGGGTGCTGTTCGGTTCTGTCACTTTTGTGGGGTGCTGCGGGGTGCTGTAAGGTGATGAGGTAGTTTGGTTGAGAATTTATGTACTTAACAGACGTTTCCCTGGGATACGTGACTGACGTGTCCGTTGGTTTTCCCTGGTGTTCTAGCGTGTGTCTGCTTTTCCCACTGTTATCGAGACGCAGGAATTGTGGTGAGTGAGTGATTTGCAATTCACCCTTCCTGCTCCACACAGGCCAAACCCTGCCAGTGTCTCCTTGTCCTTCTTTGGCTGCTTCACAGTGCCTCCTCTGGCTGCTCCCTGTTCCCCTAACTCGCCCCTCCTCCATGCATCACATCACCCAGTGACCCAGCACCACTCACCCTGCTCTCCTCCCGCCTCTGCCCCTTCTCCCTGCTGCTCTCCCATCACGATCTCCTTCCCGTCCCCCTTGTGCTGCCCGTTCGCCCCACCCTTTCCCTGTCATGGTGTCTTGTCTTCTCCCCTTGTGTCTGAGTGGTGCCAGGAGGCAATTGAGGCCTTTTCTGAGCTCCCTGCTGCTCAGTACAACACACACTGGGTGCTCGTTCAGGTTCGTTATGCTCCAGTCAATGCTTGATCTGCTGCGGGTTGTACACTGTTGTTGGTACATGTGTAGATTCTACCTATATACATCTAGTTTTCTCTCTACGCGTATATAACCCTTCTGCATTCCTGCAGGTGGGTCGGGCATACGTGGACATGGTGCAGTATGGAGAGGCGGAGAGGGTGTTTGAGATGGCACGCCAGGCCAGCCCGTACCATGTGGACGGCCTTGACATCTACTCCACTGTGCTCTTTGTAAGGGCCCCCTTCCCCTTTCTTTCACTTACCTCACTCACTCACTTTTGGTCTCAAAAGCAGCCCTTGCCATGTGGACGGTCTTGACATCTACTCAATGGTGCTCTTTGTAGGTTCCCCCTTCTGCCTCTTACTTCACTCGCACACTCACTGACTCTTTCAATCATTCACTCACTCATTCACTCACTCATTATTCGCTCACTCACTCACTCACTCATGGCCCGTTTCTCCGTCTGTGTCTCACCTCTCCCGTCCTTGTGGCCCTTGTTTTACCACCAGCACATGCGCAAGGACGTGCAGTTAAGCCTGCTGGCTCAAGAGGCGATAGCCGTGGACCGTATGGCTCCCCAGGCATGGTAGGTTGAGTCGAGTGCGGTGGAGTGGGGTGGAGAGGAGTGTTGAAGGAGTGGGGTGTGGTGTGAAGGGGTCTTTTATATGCGCCTCTGTTATGTTTGAGGCCCTTTATAATGAAATGCAGCTGAGGAGGAAATCAACTGCGAGTCTTCCCTCCGCCTATCTTCCATCTATCTCCTCCCCTTCCTATCTTCCCTCCCTTTCCCGCCCTCCCTTTCCCGCCCTCCCTTTTCTCCCTTACCCCTCAGGTGTGTGAGTGGCAACCTCATGAGTCTCACCAAGCAGCACGAGGCAGCACTCAAGTTCTTCCGAAGAGCCACGCAGCTGGATCCCTCCTTCACATACGCCCACACCCTCTGCGGCCACGAGTGAGTGTGTCTGGGTGGATGCTGGGAAGGGTTGGTGTGCATGTTGGAGAGGGGGGGAGATCAAATGTGGGGGACGGGGTATGGATGGGGGGATTGGGTGCATGATGGGGGGTTGCAGATGATTGGATGTCATTCCATCCTCCCCTCACTACCTTACCACTCCCCCTCCGTTTTGTCCTGCCTCTTTCCGCCCTCTCCCTCGTTTCCCCCTTACACTTTCTTTTCCTTCTCCCTCCCCTTCCCCCTCGCCTTCCCCTTCCATTTTCTCCTCCCGCTCCTCGTCACCCTCGCCCTCCCCCTGCCCTCGCCACCCCCCTCCTCCCCTCTCCCACCTTTCCATTCCCATGCCCATCCCCCCACCCGTCCGTCCCCTGTGCGCCATCAGGTATGCAGCAATGGAGGAGCTGGAGGATGCTGCGCTCTGCCTTTTGAGTCGAAAGTCTCTCCCTCTTCCCGTGCCCCATCCCTTCTCCCTTCCCTCCTCTGTGTCCCGTCTCTCCCCTGTGCGCCATCAGGTATGCAGCAATGGAGGAGCTGGAGGATGCTGCGCTCTGCTTCCGCACGGCCATTCGCCTCGATGCCCGCCATTACAACGCATGGTGAGAGGGGCGTGGCAAGTGCATGGTGAGAGGGGCGTGTTTACACTTGTTATGGACAGCGGGACATCGAATACAAGGTCATTGGAGCATGTGTTGCTGCTTGTGTTCTTGAGCAGACTGACCCGTACATGATGCTATATATTCAGACCGTCATACGGCCATGTGTTGGTGCTTGTGGTCAAACATACAACATGCGTCCCATATCCCTTACTCCTTGCGCATCCAGGCGAATTCCTAGTCGTCTCAAACATGTCCTTATCACAATTTCCATCAATAGAGACGTTGCTATTATGTCTAGGATGAGAATATGGCAAACGTATCCGTCCCTCATGATGTCCCTCGCGATGTCCCTCTCCCTCCGCATCTCCACCAGGTACGGCCTGGGGTCAGTGCTGATGAGGCAGGAGCGGTTCCATCTGGCAGAGTACCACTTCCGCACCGCACTCACTGTCAACCCCCACTCGTCCGTGCTGCATACCTACCTTGGCGTCTGCCTGCACTCCCTCAAGGTGACCGTGTCACTCTTTATTGAAGCGTTGGTGGTTTTCTAACTTGCGTACTCACAAACACACGCACGCACACATATGCACCCATCTGTCACATGCCGTCTCATGCTTTCGTACCTCTCGAAGATTACCTTCCTCCTCGTGTTCGTCTCTACTTCCATGCAGAGGAGCAGCGACGCCCACATGTCACTCCAGCACGCGATGCGGCTGGACTCACGCAACCCTCATCCTCAATCCCCTCTCCCCCTATCCCCCTACCCCCCTGTCTCCCATCTGCTGCCATTTCTCCTTGCAGAGGAGCAGCGACGCCCATGCATCGCTGCAGCATGCGATGCGGCTGGACCCGCGCAACCCGCTGCCAGTGTTCCAGCACGCGTACATGCTGCTGGGGGACGAGCGGCTGGGGGATGCGCTGCACGCTGCCAAGCAGCTGCTGCACGTGGCAGCCAGAGAGCCCTCCGTCTACTTCCTCCTTGGCAAGGTGAGATGCACCGCCAAGGAGGGGTGCTTTGGGAAGGATAGGTTTTGGAAGGGAGTGGAGTAAGGGGGTTAGGGGGTGAGAGGGAGGAAAGTGGTGAGGATGGTGGGAGGGTGTCGGGAGCTGAGGTGGATTCTGTAGAGATGGTTCGTGACGCTGGGAATGGGAACCTGCAGCAAGAATTCACTGTAATAAAGAAAGCCCCGTCCTTCTGCTGTTTTTCAAATGCTCCGTGCTTGATGATGAAACAGATATGCAAGAAGCTGGATAGGCCAGAGTCTGCTTTTGAGTCGACTCAAAAACCGTCCTTTTGCTGTTTTTCAAATGCTCCGTGCTTGATGATGAAACAGATATGCAAGAAGCTGGATAGGCCAGAGGAGGCGCTGATGCACCTCAACTGTGCGCTGGACTTGAAGCCACCCGCACAGCAAGTCAACCTCATTAAGGTGAGGCTCGTTGTATGGTGACAGGCATTGCATGTTATGGTGTGCTATGCAGGCACTGAAATACCATGCAGTGTTGTGCGCTGTATTTTTCTTGCTGCTTCACCTTTCGCATTATCGTCACACTCCATCAGCCATTACGCTGGGTCTGGTAGTTGTGTATGATGCTTCTTATCTCGATCTTCTTCTTTCCACCACCAGTTTCTGCGCCTCTCCTACCCCCACCCCCCCCCCCCCCCCCCCCCCACCCTCCCCCTTCTTCCCATACATAATTTATCTCTATTCTCTTCAAACTTTCGCCTGGTTCTGCGTCGTTGGTCGACTCATCCCTGTACGCTTTTGCCTGCTCTTCTCTGCTGCTGGTTGCTCACATCTGGCAGGCCTTTATAGAGAAGCTTAATGTGCCAGACAACCTGGAAGACGTTGAGGAGGAGGAAAGCATGTAAGGTAATGTGACAAAAGGCATGGGAGGGAAATGCTGGGTGAAGTGTGTTTAGAGATTGCTTAAAGGTGTCTTGAAGGCTGAGAGAAGGTTTAGTTACGGTAATTGGTAGGGTAGGATACGTAACGTCACAAACTCTTTTGTCAATGTCTAGAGATTTGAGCTGGAAACTTGGTTTTATAAGATATACGTAAACTAGCTCTGTAGTAGTGTACCCGTTCCTTTCCTAGCTACTGTACCAAGTTGGCGTCTTCGCTTGGCACAACAACAGCAACCAAGCGTTACTGCTACTGTTTGTTGGAATAAAGGAAAGACAGACACCCAAAACTAATCGCGATTCTTGACTAGCGAGGGCGAAATGACACTACTGGTTGCGCTTATGATACTACTGTTTCTAGTTGCGTCACGACTGGAGGAATTTTCCCAACGAACATCTGAGACATTCTCTTTGTCGCAACACCCCAAGGGGCTACTTTATTAGGGTTTCGCCTCGTGCTAGTTACTTAACAGATCAGCCCCGCCCGAGGTGAATGTGAAAAACTTCCTAGCTGGACTGGAGCGAGCCACGGAAAAAAATGCTCGCACTTAGCAAACTGAGGGGACACGAAGCGAGCGGACGAAACTGTTCGTGTACACTGTCGTGTTGTACTGTAAAGTGCACTCCACACAAACTGTTATCGCTCGTGCCAAATCCTCGCCTCGCCTCTCCCCGCCGCAGCCAACAGCCAACAGCACGGAGCTCGTCCCACCCAATCCCAAGGCCCCAACCCATCCCATTCCCCACCCACCCCATCCAATCCCGTTGTACCCATATCCCTCCGCGCCCCTCTTCTAACAACCTGAAACCCTCTCAAACTCTCTCCAAGCCTCTCTTCCACTCTCCTTTGCTCCCGTGTCGTGAGTTCGTTTGTTGCTGCCCCTCGCTCCGCCCCGCCCCACTTCGGGTTTTCCAGTTTGCAGCGCAGCTTTGCGGCTATCGTTCGTGGTCAGGTTTGGCAGGTCAGGGTGAGGCTGGGTTGAGTGGTGGTGGTGTGGCGTGGTTAGGTGGTTGGGAGGGGAGGGGAGAGGTTGGGGAGCGCAACCATCGAAACCGAACCAAATGCATGTGTACGTCCTTGTCGGCTTCAAATTTTACTTGCTGGTGGGATATGTGTGGTGTGGTGGCATGGGAGGGAAACTAGCTACCAAATGAAGCATTTTCTGCGCGCACTCTCACGACAAGTAGAGTACGTGCTACATACTACTGACAGACTGGCCTTAGAGACTAATTTCTCGAGTAGAGTGCATGCGTTAGGTGACGCGCAGGCATGCTCTTGACGAGTCTTAATGCCGTGTTAGTTCTTGCCTAATTCTCCAACTTGCGGCTTTAACTTATTCCTGCATTCCCCTTGTGTGTCGTGCTAAGGATAGAAGAGCATCAAAATGATCTCGTTCACCGTCCGTTCCGCGTCGCATAACGCGCCGACGCCGCGGCGGTAGAAGGAACCTCGTGCCTTAGAGGCCGCCGGCGCAGTTGCCGCGATGGCCGCCGTTCCCGCGCTGAGCAAGCAGCTGAACGGCTTCGCGGAAACTTCCGAGTACGCCGATTACTCCGACTCAAGAAGCGGCCCTCGCGGCGCGCAATCAGCAGCTGCAAGGGCCGTAGGCAACGGCATGCCAGGGCTCGTCAACAAGGCGGTACCATGGGTGGTGGCATCCGGGGCGGTTAACAACCAGGGTAACCAGCCCAAGTTGAAGCTGTCGCAGCTATACGCGCAGATGGTAGAGCAGCAGCAGAACCTTATAGAGCAACACGGGCTCGCGGGAGCTGTCGCAGGCGCGAACGGCACCCACCCTGCCGCTTCTTCCGCCGCCGCCGCCGCCGCGGCGGGTGGAACCGGTGCGAAGGGTGCTCGCGCCCGGGATCAAGGGGATTCTGGCGCATCGCTGGAGCAGCAGCAGCAGCAGCAGCAGCTTTCGCGGAAGAGCGCGCAACAGTCCTCGCCACCGACGGCATCAGCGCAGGCGCGCAGCGCGCAACGGGGGGAAGCGGCGGATACGGGGAAGCAGGACGGCGGAGCTTCTGCGCGGCGGCCGCCGCCTTTGCAGCTTCAGAACGGCAACTCGTCAGAGCATGACACGTCAGCTGCATCGCGGTCGCAATCGCAATCGCAATCGCAATCGCAATCGCAATCGCAATCGCTGTCGCAGTCGCTGTCGCAGTCGCAATCGCTGTCGCACTCGCAGTCACATTCGCACGGCGTTAGCCGGGAAGAGCGAGCGACAAAAATGTACGCGCATCCGCAGTCGCAGTCGCTGGACGAGCGGAAACTTTCCGCCCAATCCGCCCAGTCTGCGCATTCCGCCCATTCAGCGCACGAACCTTCTGCGGATCCCATACGCGCGGAGCTCCTCCGCGAGGCAGCGCAGGCGCACCACGAGGCCGCGCGCCTGCGCGAGGACATTGCGCGCCTGTGGCAAGAAGTTGCGCGCGCGCGGGAAGAGTGCGCGCGAATGGGCGAACGCGCCGCAGCCTCCCTCGAAACCGCTGCCGCGGCGCTCGAAAAAGCCGCCGCAGGCGGCGCGGGAGGCGCGGGCGCGGGCGCCGTAGCGAGAGCCACGTCATCATCGTCCTCCATGCCGGTCCCCCGCCACGTGCGCACGGAAGGCGGAAGCGGTCTCCTCTCCCCGTCCGGACTAATCTCCCCCTCCGCGCGCTCCCCCAGCCCCGGCAGCGGCGGCGGCGGCGGCGGCGGCCTGCACCCGTCGGTCCGCCGACAGCTCTCCAACTCGTGGAGTGACTATGGCGGGGGGGACGGCAGCGCGAGTCCGGGGAGTGCGGGGCAGGTGAAGGCCTTTCAGCGCCTACAGGCGGCAAAGTCTCTGGGTCTCCTCCCGCTTGCCCCCGGGGAGAGCGTGTCTAGCGCGGGCCCGGAGGATCACGGCGGAAGCGGAAGCCCCCCCGGATTGGCGGACAGCCCGCCTGGGTTGGCGGACAGCCCCGACGCGGGCGGCGGCGGAAGCGGAAGGTTTAACAGCCGCGCGTTGGCGGAGAGCGTGGAGCGCGCGTCCGCGTGGACCGCGGGGCTGGAGGCAGTCGGCGCATCTGCGCCTGCGGCGGTTGCGGGGAAGGCTGGCGGAGCAGGCGCGTCCGCCGCGGGGGCGGGAAGCGCGGGAGGGGGCCGCGGAGGGGGAAGAAGCGCGCGCGAGGGGGGGGGCGGCGGCGGAGACAACTACTCGCCGTCCAGCCCGGACTCGGTGACGTCATCGCGGAGAAGCGCGCGCGGAAGCACCGTGAGCGGAAGCAGCAACTGCTTCCCCCCGCTCCCCGGACTGGTGCAGCTGCAAGCCATGGTCCCCGCGGGGCGCAATTCCGTTCCGCCCAGCCCCGCCGCCAGCTCCTCGGACTCACACGCGCCTTCCGCGGGTGGGGCGCGGGGGGGTTTCGGAGGAGGGGGCCAAAGCGGCGGGGGCGGAAGAGCAAGCGGCGGAGGAGGCGGAGCGCGAGCAGGGGAAGGCAGCGAACCGGGGGGAAGCGGAGGCATGGCGCGGATAGAGTCTCTGCATTTACCGCCGTCCTCCTCCCCCGCGCTCTCCTCCGCCTCTTCCGCCATGCAGCGCTATAGCTCCATGGACGTGGGGGTTCTCCTTTCCGCCGCCTCCCTCCCCCCCGATTCCTCCCTCTCCGCGGGCGTTCCGCATTCCACTCCGCGCCTGCTAGGCCTGGCGGACACCGAGCCTGAGCTCACCGCGCGCCTGCGCACTAACAGCAGCAGCAGCGCCGCGGGGGGATGGATCGGCGCAAGGGGCGCGGGGGGAGCAGGGGGCGCGGGTATGCTTTCCGCGTCCCCCGCCCAGGCGGGGCGGTCGAGCTCGTTCGGGGCAAAAGGGGCGGGCGGCAGGTCTGGGACAGGGTTGAGCCGAGCCTTGTCAGTAGCCTCGGGGCAGGCGCTGCCAGGTATGGTAACGGGGCAAGGGGGACGGGCGGGGGCGACGGCGGGAGCGGCGGCGGGGGAGGAGGCGGGCGGGGAGGCGCGGGGGGAGGCGCGCGGAAAGATGTGGCGGCAGGGGTCGTGCACTGATTCGCTGCTACAGCCGTCCATGTCATTTGAAGACGAGGGGGGGAAACCGGGGCGGAGGGGGGCGGCGGGTCTGGGGAACCTTCAGGTGCCGAGACGGCAGGGGGCGGAGGCGTGGGGCAGGGGCGGCGGCGGGGCGGGCGCGGGAGCGGGCGGGGGAGGGTCGAGGGGGGGTAGTGGGGGAGTTTCGGTGGCGCTGTCGCCGTCTTTTGATGGTATAGTGCATCACGAGCAGGAGATGCTGTCTGCAGGGCTGAATCACTCTGCTGCTGCTGCTGCTGGTGCTGGTGGCAGTGGTAGTGGTAGCGGTGGTGGTGGTGGGGGTGGTGCTGGTTCTAGCAGTGTTGCTCGTCCGTTGGAGCGCACTGACGATGAGGATTCTCCTTCCTCACACTCTTCTGCTTCCTCAGACTCATCATCATCACCACGCATAGACGCAGGGGCAGCAAAGCGAGCTGCTGCTGCTGCTTCCGCCTCTGCTGCCGTTGCCGCTGCCGCTGCCGCTGCTGCTGCTGGTGAGCCGTTCACCCAGCCACAACATCCGGACGACGAATCCGATTCTGATTACGATTCGGATTCGGACGAATCGGATTCAGGCGCCAGCTCTCCCCGGTCCACAGGCTCGGGTTCTGGTTCGGCCCAAACCTCTTCAACAGGGGGGTTAGGGGCCTCCCCTTCCTCCTCTGCATCCGCCCCGTTTCCGCATAACTCAGCAGGGGGGCGCGGGGGAGCGGGGGGGCGCAGCGGGGGCAGGGGGCGCGGACCAGGCGGGGGGATTCCGGGAGGGGGAAGGGGGCGGGCGATGGCGCTGCTGGCAACAGGAGGGGGAGGGGGAATGCGGGGAGGGGGTGATGGGGCAGGAGGGGCAGGAGGGAGAGGAGGCGGGGTGTTTTCCGCTGCAGGGTCTGGGAGCTTTGCGTTTCACGATGGCTCGGAGGAAGGAGGAGGAGCAGGAGGAGGAGGGGGAGGGGGAGGGGAGAGTGCTACGGCAAGAGATTCAAAATCTGCTGCTGCTGCAGCAGCAACGGCCGCAGCAGCAGCGGCGGCTGCGGCAGCAGCTGCTGCAGGAGCAGCAGGAGGAGGAGCGGCAGCAGCAGCGAAGCGAGCAGTGGTGAAGAGTTTCAGTGCGGCAGGGAGTGGGAGCTTCGCGTTCCATGCTGAATCAGACGATGCTTCCCCGGGCGGCAGCAGCAGCAGCCCCACACTCAAACGCCCAGCCTCAGCAGGCGACTCGGCCGCCGCCACTAATGCTGCTTCTGCTGGTTCTGCCCCTGCTGCCCCTTCTGCGTCTGCTGCTGGTAGGTTTGTCGGGGGTGGTTCCGGTGCGGTGGGTATGAGAGGGCTGCGTAGGGCAGTCTCAGGGGTGCCGGATGATCGCGCTTCTGCTGCTGCAGCAGCACGCATGGGCTCTGCTGCTGCTGCTGCTGCTGCTGGTGCCGCTGCTGGTGGTGCCGCTGGTGGTGGTGCTGGTGCTGGTGGTGCTGGTGCTGGTGGTGCTGCTTCGGCTGGTGCGAGCATGCGTGGGCTGCGCAGGGCAGTGTCTGGGGTGCCGGACGGCCACACCCTATCCTCCTCTCTTGCACGAACAGTAGCAGCAGCAGGAGGAGCGGCAGGAGGAGCAGCAGGAGGAGCAGGAGGAGCAGGAGCAGGAGTGTCGCGCATGGGTGCTGGGGGGGCAGGGGGAGCGCTGGGCGGAGGCGGAAGGGGAGGGGGAGGCGGGGGGACTGCAGGGTCGGCGGGGGGGCGGGCGTTACAGAGGGCAGTGTCAGGTGTGCCGGGTGAGAGGGCGAAAAGCGGGGCAGGGGCAGCGGCGGGGTGGGGAGGCGCAGGGGGAGGAGCAGGGAGAGGAGGGGTAGCAGGGGTAGCAGGGGCAGCAGGGGCAGCAGGGGCAGGAGGCAGGGGGTTGCGGCGAGCAGTATCCGGGGTACCGGAGGGGGGAATGCACAGCCACAACCAGAACCAGATTCAGGCACGGGCAGGCGCAGCAGGAGCAATAGAAGCAGGAGTAGCAGGAGGAGCAGGACGGGGTTTACGGAGGGTGGGATCAGGTGTGCCTGGTATGGCTGGCAGTGGCGGCCGTGGGGCAGCAGCGTTCAATAGTGCTGGGAGAGTTGCTACTGGTCGTGGTGGCCCCGGCACAGGCATAGGTATAGGCACGAGCACAAACACAGGCGCAGGGACAGGGACAGGGCAGGATCAGTATCACAGGCAGCACTCACTGTCGACTGCGCATATGAGTGGGGCAGGAGGGAGAGGAGGCAGGGGAGGGGGAGCAGGTGGGGTGGGTTTGCAGCGGCACAAGTCGGTCGGAGGGCAGTTTTTCCAACCGCACTTAGCAGGTGGTGGTGGTGGTGCGTCGAATCAGGCACACGCGAGTGGGGTTGGCGCGGGGAGAGGTGCTGGAGGGGGGAGAGGGGGAGGAGGAGGAGGAGGTGGGGGAAGAGGAGGAGGAGGTGGAGGGGGAGGAGGAGGGGGAGGGGCAGCAGTGAAGTCACTTGCACCTGGTTCCAACAGCAGTGGCAGCAGCAGCAGCAGCAGCAATGGCAGTGGCAGCAGCAGTGGCAGTGGCAGTGGCAGCGGCAGTGGCAGCGGCATTGGCAGCGGCAGTGGCAGTGGCGGTGGTGCTAGTGCAAGCACCAGCAGTGTGAGCAACAGCAACAGCAACAGCAACAGCAAGAGCAGTGCAGCAGCAGCAGCAGCAGCAGCAGCAGCAGCAGGCGGATCAGCAAGTGCAGCAACAACCGCCTCAAGTTTCCCATGGGTTCCTGCTTCCTTGTCCTCGCTAAATGCTTCTAGCAGCAAGGGCCGTGGCAGCAGCACGGCAGGAGCAGCAGGAGCATCAGCATCAGCGTCAGCACTAGCAAGGTCAGTGAGTATGGATCCTGTAGCACAGCCGCACTGGACAGAGAACATGCTGCTGGGGCGAGGGGCGGGCAGGGGGACTGGAGCACGAGCGGGAGGAGGCGGGGCAGGAGGAGGAGGAGCAGGACGAGGGGGCAGAGGTGGAGGCAGCAGCGTTTTCGCTGTTAAGGGGGGGTATACCGGTAGTGGAGCAGGAGGAGCAGGAGGAGCAGCAGGAGCAGCAGGGGCAGGAGTGGATATTAACAATCGCCCTCTTAGCGGTGGCAGCTTCTTTGCCAAATTCGCAGGGACAGGAGGAGGAGGAGCAGGAGGAGGAGGGGGAGGTGGAGGAGGAGGAGGAGGAGGAGGAGGAGGAGGAGGTGGAGCAGGGGCGCAAGCGAGAGGAGGGGTGGGAGGAGCGAGGTCGGGCATGGGAGCCGCAGGAGGAGCGGGAGGAGCGGATGGAGCAGGAGGGATGGACAGTAGCGGCTTGCTGCGTGCTCAGAGCTGTAGAGTGGCGGAACTAGAGATGTCACTGCCGTTCCTGGTAAAAACCACGTCGTTCCATGTGGCAGGAGGCATGCTGCAGGAGCAGTTTCTTAAACAGAGCACTCTCCCTACAGGCACGCACGCACCTGGGTCTGCTGCTGGATCTACTACTACCTCTGGTTCTGCCTCTGGGTTTGCCGCTGCATCTAGTGGTGGTGGTGGTGGTGGTGCTGGTGCTGGGTCTCGAGTGTTGGGTGCTGGTGGTGGCAGTGGTGGTGGTGATGGTGATGTTTCAGATGCTACGAGCGAGGATGGGAGCACAGGAGGGGGAGATGATGATGATGATGATGATGATGGTGCGGATGACAGTGCGAGTGTGAGCACACAGTTATCAGAAGACACGCCACACCATTCCAGCTTGGATCTGTCGGTTTATAACCAGCCTTCGAACACTCGTGCTGCTGCTGCTGGTACCGCTGGTGCTGCTGGTGCTGGCGGTGGTGGTGGTAGTGGTCGTGGTGGTGGTGCTGGTGGTGGTGCTTCTGCTGCGGCTCGTGGGTCGTATCAAAGAGAAGATGCGGAGGATGGTTCAGATGATGAGGAGAGTGAGGAAGAGGAGGATGAGGAGGAGGGGAGGAGGAGGCTGAGCGTCGGTAGGGGACAGAGCAGCAGCAGCAGCAGCAGAAATGCTGCTGGTGTCAGCACAGGCAGCAGTCAAGGGACTTCCGGATTGACTCAGGGTGCACCAGCAACAGCACCGCCAGCAACAGCAGCATCAGCACCATCAGGAGCAGGAGCAGCAGCATCAGCGTCACCTGCAGCGAGGGCAGCAGCAGCGGCGGCGGCGGGTGCTAGAGGTGCTTACAGCAACCAGGGGGGTGCGTATGACGACAGCAGTGATTACACGAGCAGCAGCGAGAGCGACGTGGGCGGGCATGCAAGCCGGCTCAGGGGCGTGGGGATGCATGGTGCGGGGATGCATGGTGTGGGGATGCATGGTGCGGTGATGCGTGGTGTGGGGACGGGCGCTCCCCCTGCTGGTGGTCTGGCCACAGGTGGAGGTAATGATGATGAGGATGAGGAGGAGGAGGATGATGATGACGGTAGTGTTGTTATGAAAGGGCAGGGTTCAGGAGGGGAGGCAACAGGCAAGCGTGGGCAGGAAGCAAAGGATGAGGAGGAGGAAGAAGAGGAGGACGAGGAAGAGGAGGAGGAGGATGAGCAAATGGGTGCAGGTGGTTCGGTAGCAACTGGAGGGAGCAACCATCGTGCACCCTCACTCTCATCATCCCCACCACCACCATCATCGTCACCACCATCATCACCACTAATATCAGCTCTGCACACCCCGACACCACCACACACCGGCAGCGGCGGATCCGGCACTACTGGGGGGGCGGGGAGCGGGACGCCTGACCCCCCGCGCCGATCCGTGCGGTTCAAACTCTCTCCAGAGATTAGGGAGTTCACTGGGTCGGCTATGTCTGATGGGTCTGTCTCCTCTGGATCTTCTGATGAGGCCTCCCCTCCTGCCTCGACTATCTCTGCTTCTAAAGCCAGGCTGCAAGCGCTGCTGGCTCTGCAGAAGCAGCAGGAGGAGGAGGATCGGGAGCGGGAGCGGGAGCAGCAGCCGCAGCTGCAGCATTCGAACTCGCAGCACCCCCCGCCGCACCAGCAGCATTCCCAACAGCAGCAGCAGCTGCTGCAGCAGCGCCAGCAGCAGCAGCAGCAGCAAAGGCAACAGAGGAAGGAAGAAGAGGAGGAGGATGAGGAGGAGGAGGAGGAGGAGGAGGATGAGGAGGAATATGAGGAAGCGGAGGGAGAGTTTGAAGATGAGGAAAGAAGGGAGGGTGGTTCGGGTTACAATGTGGGATCAGGGCAACGAGGAACAGTTGGGGGCAGAGGAGGCGGAGGGGGTGAGGGTGGAGGGAGAGGAAGGGGATTGGCAGGTATGGCAGGAACTGGGATGGGTAATAACTCCGTGCAGCAGCATCAGCGGCAGCAGCAGCAGCAGCAACAGGAGCAGAAACAGCAGCAGCAACAACAACAGAAACAGCAGCAGTTGCTACAGCAGCAGGGGCGGATACAGTACGAGAGAGGGTCAGCAGTGGATGGTATGCGTGGTGGCAACGCGGACGACATTGATTCAGACGATTACTCTGATACTGACGATGAGGAGGGAGGGGAGGAGGAGCGTGGGGTGGCAGTGGCAGGGGGCAGACAGAGCGTGGCACGGCATGCACCTGGGGTAACAGGAGGAGGCGGCAGGGGGATGGGAAGAGGAGGGGGAGCAGTAAGAGGAGGACCAATGGGAGGAGTGGGGTCAAGGGCTTCTGATCGGGGGGTGAGGAGCGGGTATGCGAGGGGTACAGTTGGTGATGGCAAGGGGGATGCTGACTCAGGTCTGGATGAGTATGAGGATGCTTATGATGATGAAGAGGAGGATGATGATGATGGGGCAGGGTCGTTTGCGGGCTTTGGTGCTGGGCTGTAATGAAACTTCTAAGTTTGCGATTGCTTAGGAATATGGGGGGAATGGGAGAGTGGAAAGGGGACAGGAGGACGGGGGGAGAAGGAAGGGGGAGAGGGGTGGAAAGGTGAGGGTGGGAGGGGAAAGAGGGGGGGGGGGAGGGGGGGGGTAGTAAAGTATTGTCTTCACTGACTTTACAGCTGACTATCTGGCCAGGTGCATGCCTTTCACTGACTTAGCAGGATTAGTCTTAATGCACTACACCTTTCCATTGCCTACTCCGCCGTTCAGCATCTGCCTGAAAACCAGGTAATTTCATTCTGTGTTAAAGTGGTTTTCCCCTAACCCGATCAGACACCTTTAAGCTAGGGGCTATGAATGGAGCTCTTGTGTCGATGTCAGAAAATCCCTACAACTGACGTGGAAACATTATACTCACTTTGATTTGTTGAGATTCTCTTTGTATTCTGCCTAGTATATGACGTCTGAAACATTATCTTTCAGGGGGTGCGCTTCTAGTTGAGTAAAATCTATAGGCACATGCGCTTATATAATGACAAACACTATATATAATTTAATAGCACCAAAGTTTGCATCTTTCTTGCCAATTCAATCGTGTCGAAATGTTATAGCGTCACGAAACGGAATTGCGCACAAGCGTCACTTTGCAGGCACGCCATCACATCCTGTCTGGGCGCACAACCAGTGAGCCCTTCGATCGAGAGTCAATTGAAGCGAAACTGAATGTGGACTTGCTGCAAAAACAAAACGGCTTACAGGCCCGCCGGGCAAGTTGCATCAAGAAGGCGGGCGGTTCGTCAAACTAGCAACTTGTGGAACAAAACAGCCAATATAGTGATGACGAACCAATGGTAACAAAGCAGACCAATGCACAACGAATTCTGCCAACCTTCCTTGTTCCACCAAAAAACGAACGTGTAACTCTTGAGTTTTTTACAAGCCCAAATTTGCTTGCTGCAATGTTGACAACCCGTGCAATATGCACGGAAACTTATAAGCCCCAAAAGTAGTGCAAGTATGTGGGACTCAAATGGGCATTAGCTGTACTGTTGCGGGTTACCAAATGCTTCGCGAAGCGCGAAAAAGTGGTTACCCGTTGCTCTCCACATCGCAGATGAGGTCCGTCTGTCGACTTCCATGTCCCCTACCCACAGGTCGACTCCAGACCTGTAAAGACCCACAGGTCTGGTGAGCCATATGACTGCTGGACCAGCCATAATTTACTGCAGTACAGTCGATGCAGAATCGTCCGTATGGTCTTGATTTTTACTTACACAAGGCGACAGAAGGGTGGATGGTCTAACAAAACTGAAGACAAAGTCAAAACCGCGTGTTGGTGTTTTCATAATATCAAACCTGAACACTAAGTGACTGCCACAGATGGCGGCTTACCCTCACCCTCGCCTCCCGAACCCAAACGTTCTCGAGATGGGAGACGGAGTAGTACATAATATTTCTACAGTACGTTGTTATTTCGGTCAACGTACTGGCGGTGTTGAAGAATTCGGTGAACTCTAGCACTCGCGCCTCGAACAGGGCTAGTTCTCCAAACCGAACCCTAGCTCTGGCAGATTCTCATCCCAGGTTCTCTCACATCTGGATCAAGGCCATGTTTGTCCCAATCCTTCCCAGCCTACTAACAGGCTTCCATCAAGAGCAAGATTGTTATTCCAGAATCACCATCTTTGCGTTTCCTTGAAGGTAATCTTCACAACTGCTACGAGTACCAATGAAGCGCGCGACGCCTCTCTTCTTCTGCCTGCTCTGTAAGCACACTACTAGTTGTAGTACTCTATTAGTAATACCTTTCTGGACTACTGTAAACTTCAGAGGTTCTTTAGTAGTTCAACTTTAGTACTACATCCGCGAAAAGTCGCTGTCCCGTCACTGACCCTAAACCATGTTGTCCCTAATGTGACCCCTACCCGAAACTATCTCGAGGTTGACTTGGGACCCGTGAACGTGCTACTATTCGCAAACAGACTTCGCTGGAATCTGTCCCAGCTAAGAGGCGAATTTGTCCTAGCTGATTTCAGCTGCAGTGCGATTGGAAGACTCGGGTTCGATGCTCGTCGCTGTCAGTCCTATCCTGTTGAGTTTAAGTCTTTGTTTATGTATTTCGTTCGTGCGGTATCCTTCTAGACATCACAAAAATGTGTGTGTCTGAAAATCATCTGAAGTTCCCACCGGCCGATCGTAGGTTTGACAAACGTTTGAAAAACGTACAGAAAACCTACAAAAAACGTTTGTCCCTCTTGAGACGTTTTCGAGACACTAATCGTATGTTTCCGCTCAATGTTTCTTGCCTGTTGCTGCAGCATTAGGGTTTCGCGACCAAGAGGGGTTGGAGCTGGTCTCGTCGCTTGGAAGAAGTGTGCTGTAAATTTGTTCTCGATATAAATGTCTCGTTTTTACTTCTGTGCATTGTTTGTTCCCATCAAGACATTTGAAGATAATTCTCTGAATTTGAAGATTCCACTAGGGAACATGTGTTTCCAAGAGTCATATTTAACCAGTGGTTATTAATTTTGCGCCTATTAGATCAAAGAAATGCCTAAACATATCAATATTCTAGGATCAAAATCAACGTTTGCCAAAGTCACATTGGGTCAAACTTCATGACGATTGCAAGACCTCACCATACAAATCTGTTGAGGAGGCTCACTTCATCGTCCTCGCACGAGGGTACAACGTGCACGAGACTAAGAATGCAGTCTACATCGATCACGGCATAATTATCAACGCCTTCTGTGGGTAGAAGACGCTTGCATCCCGTCGACGGGCATTGACGCTTGTCTTCGGTGTAGTACTCCACATATGCGCCTCGCCTCAGCTCACCACCCTTGTTGTAATGAAACAGCACAAGGCAACGGCCATACCACGGGGAACCCTTCCCTGCAGGGTTGATCGCGATCGCCGAGAAGTTCTTCTCGGCTGGGCTAGCCTTGACAAACTGCCCCCGTGACGTCCATTCCATCTTGTCGTGTGGCGGAATCGCAAGTGCTGTGTGCACCTGACACCACGAGCATTGCACAAAGCAAATGGGAAAGCAGGGAAAGAGGGGGTGGAGAGCATAAGGAAAAGGGGGAATTGGCCAAGGATTGGGTGGAAAGCAAGCTGGAGAGGGGGAACGAGGGTTGGGAGGGGGTGGGAAGGAAACTGGAGAGGGGGAACGAGGGTTGGAGGGGGTGGGAAGCAAGCAGGAGAGGGGGAACGAGGGTTGGAGGGGGTGGGAAGCAAGCAGGAGAGGGGGAACGGGGTTGGAGGGGGTGGGAAGCAAGCAGGAGAGGGGGAACGAGGGTTGGAGGGGGTGGGAAGCAAGCAGGAGAGGGGGAACGAGGGTTGGAGGGGGTGGGAAGCAAGCAGGAGAGGGGGAACGAGGGTTGGAGGGGGTGGCAAGCAAGCAGGAGAGGGGGAACGAGGGTTGGAGGGGGTGGAAAGCAAACAGGAGAGGGGGAACGAGGGTTGGAGGGGGTGGCAAGCAAGCAGGAGAGGGGGAACGAGGGTTGGAGGGGGTGCGAAGCAAGCAGGAGAGGGGGAACGAGGGTTGGAGGGGGTGGCAAGCAAGCAGGAGAGGGGGAACGAGGGTTGGAGGCGGTGGAAAGCAAGCAGGAGAGGGGGAACGAGGGTTGGAGGGGGTGGGAAGCAAGCAGGAGAGGGGGAACGAGGGTTGGAGGGGGTGGGAAGCAAGCAGGAGAGGGGGGACGAGGGTTGGAGGGGGTGGGAAGCAAGCAGGAGAGGGGGGACGAGGGTTGGAGGGGGTGGGAAGCAAGCAGGAGAGGGGGAACGAGGGTTGGAGGGGGTGGAAAGCAAGCAGGAGAGGGGGGACGAGGGTTGGAGGGGGTGGCAAGCAAGCAGGAGAGGGGGGACGAGGGTTGGAGGGGGTGGCAAGCAAGCAGGAGAGGTGGAACGAGGGTTGGAGGGGGTGGGAAGCAAGCAGGAGAGGGGGAACGAGGGTTGGAGGGGGTGGCAAGCAAGCAGGAGAGATGGAACGAGGGTTGGAGGGGGTGGAAAGCAAGCAGGAGAGGGGGGACGAGGGTTGGAGGGGGTGGGAAGCAAGCAGGAGAGGGGGAACGAGGGTTGGAGGGGGTGGGAAGCAAGCAGGAGAGGGGGAACGAGGGTTGGAGGGGGTGGGAAGCAAGCAGGAGAGGGGGAACGAGGGTTGGAGGGGGTGGGAAGGAAGCAGGAGAGGGTTTACGAGGGTTGGAGGGGGTGGCAAGCAAGCAGGAGAGGGGGGACGAGGGTTGGAGGGGGTGGGAAGCAAGCAGGAGAGGGGGGACGAGTGTTGGAGGGGGTGGGAAGCAAGCAGGAGAGGGGGGACGAGGGTTGGAGGGGGTGGGAAGCAAGCAGGAGAGGGGGAACGAGGGTTGGAGGGGGTGGGAAGCAAGCAGGAGAGGGGGAACGAGGGTTGGAGGGGGTGGGAAGCAAGCAGGAGAGGGGGAACGAGGGTTGGAGGGGGTGGGAAGCAAGCAGGAGAGGGGGAACGAGGGTTGGAGGGGGTGGGAAGCAAGCAGGAGAGGGGGAACGAGGGTTGGAGGGGGTGGGAAGCAAGCAGGAGAGGGGGAACGAGGGTTGGAGGGGGTGGGAAGCAAGCAGGAGAGGGGGAACGAGGGTTGGAGGGGGTGGGAAGCAAGCAGGAGAGGGGGAACGAGGGTTGGAGGGGGTGGGAAGCAAGCAGGAGAGGGGGAACGAGGGTTGGAGGGGGTGGGAAGCAAGCAGGAGAGGGGGAACGAGGGTTGGAGGGGGTGGGAAGCAAGCAGGAGAGGGGGAACGAGGGTTGGAGGGGGTGGGAAGCAAGCAGGAGAGGGGGAACGAGGGTTGGAGGGGGTGGGAAGCAAGCAGGAGAGGGGGAACGAGGGTTGGAGGGGGTGGGAAGCAAGCAGGAGAGGGGGAACGAGGGTTGGAGGGGGTGGGAAGCAAGCAGGAGAGGGGGAACGAGGGTTGGAGGGGGTGGGAAGCAAGCAGGAGAGGGGGAACGAGGGTTGGAGGGGGTGGGAAGTAAGCAGGAGAGGGGGAACGAGGGTTGGAGGGGGTGGGAAGCAAGCAGGAGAGGGGGAACGAGGGTTGGAGGGGGTGGGAAGCAAGCAGGAGAGGGGGAACGAGGGTTGGAGGGGGTGGGAAGCAAGCAGGAGAGGGGGAACGAGGGTTGGAGGGGGTGGGAAGCAAGCAGGAGAGGGGGAACGAGGGTTGGAGGGGGTGGGAAGCAAGCAGGAGAGGGGGAACGAGGGTTGGAGGGGGTCGGAAGGAAGCAGGAGAGGGGGAACGAGGGTTGGAGGGGGAGGGAAGCAAGCAGGAGAGGGGGAACGAGGGTTGGAGGGGGTGGGAAGCAAGCAGGAGAGGGGGAACGAGGGTTGGAGGGGGTGGGAAGCAAGCAGGAGAGGGGGAACGAGGGTTGGAGGGGGTGGGAAGCAAGCAGGAGAGGGGGAACGAGGGTTGGAGGGGGTGGGAAGCAAGCAGGAGAGGGGGAACGAGGGTTGGAGGGGGTGGGAAGCAAGCAGGAGAGGGGGAACGAGGGTTGGAGGGGGTGGGAAGGAAGCAGGAGAGGGGGAACGAGGGTTGGAGGGGGTGGGAAGCAAGCAGGAGAGGGGGAACGAGGGTTGGAGGGGGTGGGAAGGAAGCAGGAGAGGGGGAACGAGGGTTGGAGGGGGTGGGAAGCAAGCAGGAGAGGGGGAACGAGGGTTGGAGGGGGTGGGAAGCAAGCAGGAGAGGGGGAACGAGGGTTGGAGGGGGTGGGAAGCAAGCAGGAGAGGGGGAACGAGGGTTGGAGGGGGTGGGAAGCAAGCAGGAGAGGGGGAACGAGGGTTGGAGGGGGTGGGAAGCAAGCAGGAGAGGGGGAACGAGGGTTGGAGGGGGTGGGAAGCAAGCAGGAGAGGGGGAACGACGGTTGGAGGGGGTGGGAAGCAAGCAGGAGAGGGGGAACGAGGGTTGGAGGGGGTGGGAAGGAAGCAGGAGAGGGGGAACGAGGGTTGGAGGGGGTGGGAAGCAAGCAGGAGAGGGGGAACGAGGGTTGGAGGGGGTGGGAAGCAAGCAGGAGAGGGGGAACGAGGGTTGGAGGGGGTGGGAAGCAAGCAGGAGAGGGGGAACGAGGGTTGGAGGGGGTGGGAAGCAAGCAGGAGAGGGGGAACGAGGGTTGGAGGGGGTGGGAAGCAAGCAGGAGAGGGGGAACGAGGGTTGGAGGGGGTGGGAAGGAAGCAGGAGAGGGGGAACGAGGGTTGGAGGGGGTGGGAAGCAAGCAGGAGAGGGGGAACGAGGGTTGGAGGGGGTGGGAAGCAAGCAGGAGAGGGGGAACGAGGGTTGGAGGGGGTGGGAAGCAAGCAGGAGAGGGGGAACGAGGGTTGGAGGGGGTGGGAAGCACCTGCAAGACTTCCGTGTTGATGCCCGCCTTTTTTAGGCGCAGAACCATCGCACTCATGGCGGGTTCACCCAGCGTCAAGACGTAGCTCCGAAACACCGAGTCGGTGATGTCCCCAATGACCATCCTCTTGTGGGTCTTTGTAAGCACCCTCCGGCCGGCCCGGCATGCCTGTCACCATGGTGAGAAGAGGGTTTGGATGGGGATGGGGTGGGGTGAATGGTGTGGGTTGAGGAGGGTGAAGGAGGGGGGGAAAGGGGATGGATGCAGGGGAGAAGGAGACGGCCAGGGAAGGGGGGAAATGGGGGTGGGGGAAATGGGGGTGGGGGAAAGGGGCCGAGTTTGTGGGGACAAAGAAGGGGATGGGGGGGTAGGATTTGATCACTGAAGTTTCGGCTGGGCCTATATCTGAATGCCAACTTAAGCAGAGAACAGGGAAATTCGGGGGGGAAACATGTCAGGGGAACATAGAGAGAAACAGAGCAGGGAACAGAGGAGGGCAAATAGAGAACGGAACAGAGCAGGGCAAACAGGGCAGACAACAGGGCAGGGAAAACAGAGCAGGGCACAGAGGTACGCAAAAAGAGAAGGGATCAGAGGAGGGAAAACAGAACAGTGCACAGAGCAGGGAACAGGGAAGGGGAAATGACTAGGGGAACAGAGCAGGGGAACGGAGCAAGAGAGGCGAGCACTGAAACAGATCAGGGGAAACAGTGAAGGGAACAGAGCAAAAGAACCATACAGGGATTACCAGAGCAGGGAAACAAAGTAGAGGAAGGTGTGCAGGGGAACAGAGCAAGGGGGACATTCTATAAATTACCTCTTTCATCGAAGTCTCGTACGTGTTGTCCCCGCCGGCCTCCCGCGCTAGTTGTCTAACTACCGCATGCTCCAGGTGTTTCCGAACGATGCGATCTTCAACATTCTTCCAGTTTGTGCCACGTGAAGGACGCTTCACAGTGGTCTTGTGGGAGTGCTCGTAACAGTTCGACGAGTACTCGGCAGGGATTCCCCGAAGACGGATGGTTGACGGGAGGTGAACGAGGAGATGAATCTTCACTATTTTCCACTTTGACTTCTGCTTAGGGAATGCAACACGCAGAGCCTTCACCATGCTGGGGAGAGACAGTCGAGAGCATGCATGCAGTTAAGGGGTGGAATGCAGGCCAGTAAGGGAGAAACGGCACGAGGGAGGGGGGGGTGAGGAAGCATGCAGTCAAGGGGAAAAAAGGGCAGGAGGGAGGTCAAGCAGGTGGGGTATGGAAGAACAAGGATGCAAGGGGTTAAAACAAGATGAAAGAGGGGGGGGTGGAGCATGGTGGCACGGTTGAAACAAGGAAAATGGGTGTATGTGGTAATGAATGGCTTGGAACCGACACAACAATAAGAGTAACCACCTGATGGTGGCGTCTTTCATCCGTTTCAGGGAATCGTCGGTGTGATACTCAGCGCGAATGAACTCCTTATACCACTCGACCATGAGCACGATTGCCGTCCGGACATCTTTCTGTCCTGGGAGATCGATGATGAGAGGCAGGACCTGCATCATCGCACGATGCTCTGAAGCTGAAAAGCAGGCAGTGGATGTGAAGTAGGCCCACGCCGATGGCAGACGGAGCACGGATGCTGGTGTGACCTCCTTCAACATCTTGTATCGCCTAGAGGGGAGGAACAGTTCAGCAAGGCGCGGAAAGCAGCGAAGGAGGGGAGGAACAGTTCAGCAAGGCGCGGAAAGCAGGGAAGGAGGGGAGGAACAGTTCAGCAATGCGCGGAAAGCAGGGAAGGAGGGGAGGAACAGTTCAGCAAGGCGCAGAAAGCAGGGAAGGAGGGGAGGAACAGTTCAGCAAGGCGCAGAAAGCAGGGAAGGAGGGGAGGAACAGTTCAGCAAGGCGCGGAAAGCAACGAAGGAGGGGAGGAACAGTTCAGCAAGGCGCGGAAAGCAGGGAAGGAGGGGAGGAACAGTTCAGCAATGCGCGGAAAGCAGGGAAGGAGGGGAGGAACAGTTCAGCAAGGCGCAGAAAGCAGGGAAGGAGGGGAGGAACAGTTCAGCAAGGCGCGGAAAGCAACGAAGGAGGGGAGGAACAGTTCAGCAAGGCGCGGAAAGCAGGGAAGGAGGGGAGGAACAGTTCAGCTAGGCGCGGAAAGCAGGGAAGGAGGGGAGGAACAGTTCAGCAAGGCGCGGAAAGCAGCGAAGGAGGGGAGGAACAGTTCAGCAAGGCGCGGAACAACTCACTCCAGAAGAATCTTCCGTTCCTTCGGAGTCAGCTTCTTCACAAGGCACTTCATGGCATGCAGCCATATGCCCTGCTCCCAGATGTGCATGATGTCCGGGGGCACAGCAAGGTACGTGTTGCCCCAGAGAGTCTTTGCGAATCCCCAGTCCCACAAAAGGCTCTGCGTTGTGGGTCAAGGACACAACGTCACTATGGCGGGTCGGAGTAATAAACACAAACAACTGGCTGCGGATTGGAGTAGGTTTTCAGGCACACTAGCCAGTGCAGTATATGGTCGACATGGAGAAAAACCGGATGAGAACATCGGCGAGGCATGCGGAACAAGCTGGGCAAGGCTTACCTTCACAAAGTGAGTAGAGGTCTTCTTCTTCACCGCCTTCAGCTTCTTTTTGGTTTCCGCTGATTTCATCTCCTTGTACGCATCCTGCTGACTCTTGACAGTTCTGAGGACGATGGTGACTTCCTGCTCATCCAGGCACTCCTTATCAGGTGGCGTTTGAGTCAACTCAACAGTCATCTCATCCAAGTGCTCCTTATCAGCCAAGCACAACGAGCACGGATGGAGCGAGTTGCATGCCATCGTACATGTGACCTTAGAAGACTCCGGGTGATCTGTCACCCATGAATATAGAAGCGTGAATGCTCTATATTGCACACCGGCACTGTCTTCCACCATCACCCCGCCCCTACACAGCCGCCAAGGAAGGAGGCGGAAACAGGGAGGTAGAGGGGGGATGATGGGAGAACACGTCACAGATGTGAGTAACGGAGTGAGCACGGGCGACCCTAAGCAAGCAGATGAAGAACGGTTAGGAAGATGGGGACAGCAAGCAGGGAAGGCATTAACATGACGGTGGCAAAGCATGCATGTACAGGTGGAATCGGAATGGTAACCGGTGAAGCATTGGTGGCAGGGAAGTTATGACTGAATACAGCGTTGTGACACGCATGCAGAGGAGGACCAGATGAGAACGAGGGTCAAAAAAGGGAGCGGTGAGGGTATGACTCAGGGAAAGAATATCAGAAGGGTAGTGGGGTGGAGTCGTGACGGCGTGGCGGGTTTAACCCAAAACCAGAAGGCTAATGATGTCACCTTTGGGTGACAGTAGTGTTGACTCACCCTTGCAGATGTGAAGCCGCCTTTAAATCTTGAATCATGATCTCTGCAGCGCGCTGGAACACTCGAACCTTTTCTTCCGGCGAGAGGTCAGCTGGGATATGAGGCAGAAGCCCGAGAAGCTCAGTGCCTCCTTCGAGCCACCTAGCCCATTCCGGAATGTTCCCAAAGGACAGCAGAAATGGGTGGGCAGATTGGCGCCCATTGTATGATAGATTGGTCTGATCCGAGAACAGAATGAGCGCTATAACTATGCCATACTTCCGCACCCTATCCTGCCACAGTGAATGAGAAAGTGAAGGAAAGATGTATTGGATCCTAGGTTTCGACGCTCGTGTCCGACACGACATGAGCTGGAACCGAACTTACCCAAGCCTCCAGCATCCAGTCCGTGTTTGCAGGGGTACTATAGCGGCGAACCCCATCAACCTTCCACTCTTGAGGCATGATGGCGAATCCCTTGACAGCTGACATCTTCTTAAACATGGCCTGGAGGAGCTGATGGTTATCAATAAGGAAACAAAGATGGAGAACAGAGGTGAAGGATTGATGCATCCATTGGTCGGAAGATTTGATCGTCATCACTAAGCACACAACCCAACTCGTGAGTGATACGTGACAGCGCACCAGCAAGGCACTCACAGTTATGGCGTTTCGGCGGTTGAATATGAGAAACCCAATCTCGTGATCCACTGGGATCTCCTCGACGATCCACTCGTTCTCCGCTCCAAGGTCAAAGTCCCGCTCGTACTTCTCCAGGTCTCTGTAGCTGTTCCAATCGTCGAGTTGCTTTGGATCTAATTTCGGATGTCTAACTAACTGTATCGTGTCGTTTATCGCCCCGTTGGTAAGGCCGTGAGAGCGTGCCAAGATGCAGATTTCAGCTTTAACATCAAGAACCTCCTCCGTAGGAGCCTCTTCCCCCACCAGGGTGGTGCTACTTGTAGGGACTGCATCGGGAACTCGCTCTGCCTGCAGCGGATGCTGCTCGACTGCATTCGGGCCTGCTGCTAAGGGAATCGACCGATGTGGCGCGGGTAGTGTGGCTCTTGCCAGCGGGACAAATCTACAATGCTGCTCCGCTGCACGACCCAGTTTCTTTCGTTTAGCAATCTCTTGAGCCTTGGCCCGTTGGGCCCGCTTACAACCATCATGGTTAGCTTGATGACTTGCTACTGATTGATAACAGTACACGCGTTTTTTACAGAACTCGCATGCCTGGGCCTCCATTGGCCAAATCAAGTTTACCTAGGAGTGAATGGTGTTCAGCAACACCAGTTCGAGCTGTTTAGCAAGTCACACAAGGGTAGCGTTGATCGTAGTGGCGATATATTAGGTTTGGTCGAGGAACAAATATCTGCGCCAAGAGGGATGGGTGATCGGAGTTGCTTGATCCGTGTTTTGGGTGGGTCAGATTGGCGATTGGCCATCCAGTGTCAGTAACTGGTGAGCGATTGGTGGTGACGGTTCGTTACGTACTGCCTGAAGTGTTTGCGTCGGTGCTCATTGGTGCGCGACAAATCGCGCCCTTGGGCGAGAGCGCGAAGCGTCACAGCATTTCCCGTAAGCTGGGAAAGTCTGGATGCAATTTGCCATGCCTGGGTGCGCCGTGTTTCAGGAAACAAATTGGCGCGTGTCGTTTCAGTTTGCAACATTGGCTCAAACATTCGCCCAATCGGAGGATAGGTTACTTGCCACAAACTACCATTTTGTGACACATCTCGATCCATAATCCGTCAATGACAAATTACATCTCACGCCCTCTACGTTTTGACAGAATGGTTCACTGTCTGACATCATTTTCATTTTCAGTGAATGATGTCATTCGTGTCAGCCAACATCAAGCCGCTACACTGTCATTGGAGCAGAGTTTCATGTCAGGCGGCGCAACACTTTTCACCAAGTCCCAACAAAACCAAAGCCCCGCTACCCAACGACACCGTTTGGAGAATGGAAGACTGCACGAGCTGTGCAATAGGAAGTTGTGTAGTAAGCGAACAAATGGGACGCTTGATGGGTGCTTCTCGCCTCGGTAACGAATGTCCCTGGTGATTTTCCGGCTTACAAGCTTGCCAAGGAAATTTCAACACTCGCCTAGCGCAGAATCCTACTCCTCGCTAGAGTTTGCTGGGTTAAGGAATGGCGGAAGAGGACATACCCAAGTTATCGCGATGTAGTTTCCAGCAGATGAGCATGCCCTCCCCGTTTGGGGGCGGGTGGCTTGAAATCTACCCCTCAGATTACCGCACGTTGGGAAACGAGCAGTGGATCAGTGGCACGGTTATCGAGTGGCTATCATCGTGAGTTGTTTAAAACGCAAAAGTTTGAGACATGGCGGCACCTTGTTCAAACTTACTCACAAGCTACCGCGAGTTTCCACATTTCCATGGCGTTCCCGCAGGATGTTACACTATGAGAACGGACTCGAAAATGCTGAGTGGCTTTGCACATCGCCGTATTTCTGGACCCTCGTCGCGCGGCCGGAATCTAAGAGAATCACTAGGCTGGCATATGGGCTCGACATCTTATCGTTCAAACACGTGCTTGTTCCGATTAACAAGGAGTATGTGCTCGGGCAATTCTTTGCATGATTCATACGATCAAGGTTGCTGCAAGCTAATGATCTTTGAATGACTCGATGATGCAGTGCGCACTGGAGCCTTGTAGTCATCGAAATCAACCATGCTCCAGGATCTCTGTTCCCGATCAACTGTGTATTGTGGCATGCGGACTCATATGGCAGTCACGACGACATCGATGGTCCATTAAGAAAGTGAGTTACTCGTGAAGCTTATTAAACTTGTATCTTGCGGTCTGATCCTAACTACAAATTCATCCCAATGCGCAGATGTTTGATGACAAACGTCATGAAGCGCTACGCATGGGTCACGGAGACAGAAGCAAAATCGTGGGCTGACGCGATCCAGTTAAACGTCATCGAGGTACGCGCATGGGATAGCCGGATGAGTGGAGGAATCATGTGTGATATAGGCCGCGCAGCGGCAGGCGTGGGATGCGCGGATGGGTAAGGGAGTGGGAGAGTAGGTTGTGCATGGACAGGCGTGGGATGCGCGGATGGGTAAGGGAGTGGGAGAGACGGCAGGCATGGGATGCGCGGATGGGTAAGGGAGTGGGAGAGTAGGTTGTGCATGGACAGGCGTGGGATGCGAGGATGGGTAAGGGAGTGGGAGAGACGGCAGGCATGGGATGCGCGGATGGGTAAGGGAGTGGGAGAGTAGGTTGTGCATGGATAGGCGTGGGATGCGCGGATGGGTAAGGGAGTGGGAGAGTAGGTTGTGCATGGACAGGCGAGTGAAGCGCTGACGTGTTGCGGAGGGGGAGGAGTGGGCTGCACATGGCCAGGCGGGTGATGCCCTGAACAGCAGGGAGGGGGAGGAGTGGGCTGCGCATGGCCAGGCGGGTGATGCCCTGAACAGCAGGGAGGGGGAGGAGTGGGCTGCGCATGGCCAGGCGGGTGATGCCCTGAACAGCAGGGAGGGGGAGGAGTGGGCTGCGCATGGCCAGGCGGGTGATGCCCTGAACAGCAGGGAGGGGGAGGAGTGGGCTGCGCATGGCCGTGCATGGGGTGCGCGGTTGTGTAGATGATAGAGGGGAGGTGGAGTAGGCTGTGCATGATTGTGCATAATACAAGTACCATCCACTCCGAGTGTGCTTTGCAGGTGCGTCAGCAAGACAACGAGAACGACTGCGGTGTTTTTGTAATGCGTGTGATTCATACGCTTGTCGAGAGCAGGTTCGGCAGGATGAATGCGTGTAACTTGGCTGGGACGCCAAGACAGTGGAGCAATATCGTCATGATTTGGCAAAGTGGTCCTGTGTCTATGAAGGTGCTTGTGCCACTATACAGGCTGATTGATGCTCCTTAGCCTGGTCGCTGTTGGTTAGTGACATGAATGTGCTACTGATGATCGTTGTATTGATTGATGTTTGTTGTGGAATTGCATAGCCAGGCGGTACTTGAGTTGCTCCATTTTGTAAGCTCTTACCAACTCAACCTTGGTGTCAATGCCCATGGAATGGCAGGTTGGGGTCATACTAAACACGATGAGTAGGCTGATGATGAGCTGAATGAGGGGTTGGAACAGCTACTTAGCATGGTGCAGTTGAATATCACATACAACTCAACGTGATAGTGTGGGTGCTCTGGATCGGCCCAATACCGTAACACAGTAATGAGGAGAGGAGACTCTGCAGCTTCCCTCTCTCCCTATGGCTGAAAACTCCATGCACTTTATGGCAGTTGCTGATGTGTTGTGAACTGTGCTTTCACTCAACAGTTACACACAACACAATGTGTTTGATGTACGCTGCTAGGATTTGTGCTTGGTGAAGTCGCTGCTGTTATGGGAAGATTGTCCGGTCCTGGATTAAAATTTGGAACTGCGGATGCATGAACTTATTGATGTAAGGGCCGACAAGGCTGCACACAGACCACACTGTATGAGGACAATTGCTGCTCAGAATCACCTCAATGTGTAAGGATAACAGTATAACAGTATAACAGTATTTCAACTTTTAACTATTCTATCAACACACCCGTGACTGCACGTCTAAACGGATTGATGCGCCAAAATGACGTTTCAACACAACCAGGAGAGATTCTCGAACCGCGATGGCTTTTACAGATCACGGTTCCCGACCTGCAATGTTGATGGAAAACGCGGTGCCGATTTGCTGTTGTCACATTCGATTTTTTGTTTCCCTTTGTTTTGCGGCAGGGATGTTCGATTCCCGTTCCCTTGCTCGAAATTACTTAGTATCCTGAGCTTATGGCAGACATAGCACGGCTGGCCAACAGACTTTATCTCGTAAGTAGGTGCTAGAACCTAGGTTCGTAAACACTGATATACTGCCTGCGCGTTCCTTGCAACTTCAAGGGCAGCTGAACTGTTGCTCTGTGTTTCCCATATCCCAGCACCAAACCCCATCGCAAGGTGCCTCATTGGGCATTTCGTTACAGGAGCATGCATCTTTGATGCCTAGTCTCGAAGCGTTAGTTGAGACCACGTTACCCTCCGCGTTCGAAGCACAGAGGGCGTCTTGCTGGTACCATTCGCTGGTCTCCTCACGATACCTTCCAACGGTAGGTAGGCACGTCCAGCTCCTTCTACCTGTTAGTCAATGTCACGGTACCTCCACCACCTGGCGCAAATGTGCATTTCTGCCAGTTTTAGGCACGTTTAGCCATTTCGAAACGCCTGTTCTCGTAGTAGGCACGTCCTGATATGGCGCGCATGGGATGGTCTCGAACGGCGCGGCCTGCGATGGCGTGCTGCTGTTTTAGTTGCACGACTTCCATTGGAGCGATTCGCGGGCACGTACTGCTATTGCGCGCTGCATTGCTCGCATGCACGTCCAGCGTGCGCGATTCTTTTCCTAGCTGCTCGAATACCTATTGGAGGAGCTTATAATCCTTAGGTATGCACTCCTCAGCTATATAACGTAAATCGGGCAGGTTTAGCTGCATTGCTAGAAACATGGCGGACAACGGCGGTCTCAATCACCAGGCCAATGCTTGTGACCTCATCGATGCAGCTGGAGCTTTACAACGCCAAAACCGATGCGGAACAGAGGCTGCATGACAAGATGACACCTCTTAATACCTCTCAGCTAGTTGTGAGGTATCGTCGGAAGAACAAGTCTACTGCGCGCGATGCCGAGGTGTCGGGAGGGGAACATTCATCGGATAGTGAGCATTCTGGGGACGTGCCATACGCCGGCAAACTTAGTCGCGGCGGTTCAAGCGGGCAGAGGCACGCTCCTAAGCTGAAGCAGTTGGACCAATTCAAAGCTGATACAGGGAGGAAAGGTACGCATCCAGGTTTTATATCTTTTTTTCTTCTCTGCATGTTTGTAAGTTGCTCGGTAAAAGCCTGCTTGTGTTCGCACCCAATACATAGAGGTGCTGCCCTCATATCGTGTGAGCATTTCGTCCTTACTTGATGCGTGTTGTAGGTACCGTCGGTTCCAAGAAAAAGAAAAAAGGAAAACAAGATGCGGATGGGGCAACTGGACAGATAGAAGACGTAGACTACGAGGAGCCACTGCCAGTGAAAGGGCATAAGCGTGAGGATGAGCGTGGGGGAGAGCGTGAGGGCAGGCGTGAGGGCAGGCGTGAGGGCAAGCGTGAGGGGAGGCGTGAGGGGAGGCGTGAGGAAGAGCGTGAGGAAGAGCGTGAGGAAGAGCGTGAGGGAGAGCGTGAGCGAGAGCGTGAGGGAGAGCGTGAGGGAGAGCGTGAGGGAGAGCGTGAGGGCGAGCGTGAGGGCGAGCGTGAGGGAGAGCGTGATGTGAATCGTGATGCATCTTCTCCCTCTACTCCAGCAGGTGCTCGACCGGATGGTGCAGAGAATGTTCGTGGGCATGGGGGGAGTGGGAGAGAGAGCCGTGGCGGGGAGATGGAGGATCAGAAGGGGGTGTCAGGGAGAGTGAAGTCACGGCGACGCAGGGCTGGAAAGAAAGCCCCTGTCAAGGAGGAATCTTCCGAAGGCGAGGACAGCTCGGATGAGGAATCGGGGAGCTCCTCCGGGAGTGAGGAGAGGTACGACGAGGATGAAGAAAGTGAGGACGATGAATCGGTGTCCGAGAGTGATGACGAAGATATGAGAGGGCGGAGGGCACGGGCAGGTAGAGGCCGCTCGGGCGGAAAGCGTGGGCATGCGCACGGAAATAAAGCGAGCAAAGGGCGTAAGAGGCAGAAACATCGCTCGCGTGCTCAAGGGAAGCACGCTACTCATGGGGTGCCTACGCGGGTGGGTAAGGAGCGTCCTCCCGTAGGAAGGAACCTCGGATTCTACCATGAGATGCGGACCTTGGGGAGCTCTGAAGATGCAGGTCAGGAGAACCGTAGGGAGAACATTCGTAGGGGGAAATTGGCAGCATCGAACGATCCATATACTGCCCTCGCCTCTGGGTCTGGACTGGGAAGGAGTGCATCACGGTTTCCTGATCGTAGCGTGGAAGCGGAGGCTGATCTTCAGCACAACATTACTCGTGAGGCAAGTGGTGGTGATGATCCGGCAAGTGCAGGGGGGCAATGGGTGAAAGATCGTGATGCTGGTGGGTTTGGTGCTTGGGGGATGGACGAAGAGAAGGCTGGAACTTCAGACCCTGCGACTGCAGGCCCGTCAGATCCGGCGAGATACAGTTCCAAGCCCGACAGCGCGACCGGTGTGCCCCTAAGTCCCTTAGACAGTTCACCTGATGCTTCCATGCAACAACTTTTTAAAGCTTTGCAGGATGCCAATCGGCAGATTGCAGAGCTAAAGGCGGGTCGCGGTCTTTCAGGAAACGGGGGCGGCAACGGCACGCAAATACCTCCTCTTACCTCGATCTCCAGTGAGCTGCCATCGCAGCCCGATGCGCCTCCCGTTGTGGCGGAGAGCGCTGTACAAGACGTTCCCATTGCACGGAGGCACGGCATGCCGAATGCCACCAATCTGAGGGTTAGTTACTAGTTTCCCTTGACTGCATGCCTTGCACCGTCTCCGGTTTCCCGTCACTGCATCCCACCCTTGCATCGCACACATTTTCTGGTTTCCCGTCACTGCATCCCTCCCTTGCACCGCACACATTTTCTGGTTTCCCGTCCCCGTCACTGCATCCCTCCCTTGCACCGCACCCATTTTCTGGTTTCCCGTCACTGCATGCCTCCCTTGCACCGCACACATTTTCTGGTTTGCGGTCCCTGCATCCCTCCCTTGCACCGCACCCATTTTCTGGTTTCCCGTCGCTGCATCCCTCCCTTGCACCGCACCCATATTCTGGTTTCCCGTCACTGCATGCCTCCCTTGCACCGCACACATTTTCTGGTTTGCTGTCCCTGCATCCCTCCCTTGCACCGCACCCATTTTCTGGTTTCCCGTCGCTGCATCCCTCCCTTGCACCGCACACAGTTTCTGGTTTCCCGTCGCTGCATGCCTCCCTTGCACCGCACACAGTTTCTGGTTTCCCGTCGCTGCATCCCTCCCTTGCACCGCACCCATTTTCTGGTTTCCCGTCGCTGCATCCCTCCCTTGCACCGCACACAGTTTCTGGTTTCCCGTCGCTGCATCCCTCCCTTGCACCGCACACAGTTTCTGGTTTCCCGTCGCTGCATCCCTCCCTTGCACCGCACACAGTTTCTGGTTTCCCGTCGCTGCATCCCTCCCTTGCACCGCACACATTTTCTGGTTTCCCGTCGCTGCATCCCTCCCTTGCACCGCACACAGTTTCTGGTTTCCCGTCGCTGCATCCCTCCCTTGCACCGCACACAGTTTCTGGTTTCCCGTCGCTGCATCCCTCCCTTGCACCGCACACATTTTCTGGTTTCCCGTCGCTGCATCCCTCCCTTGCACCGCACACAGTTTCTGGTTTCCCGTCGCTGCATCCCTCCCTTGCACCGCACACAGTTTCTGGTTTCCCGTCGCTGCATCCCTCCCTTGCACCGCACACAGTTTCTGGTTTCCCGTCGCTGCATCCCTCCCTTGCACCGCACACAGTTTCTGGTTTCCCGTCGCTGCATCCCTCCCTTGCACCGCACACATTTTCTGGTTTCCCGTCGCTGCATCCCTCCCTTGCACCGCACACATTTTCTGGTTTCCCGTCGCTGCATCCCTCCCTTGCACCGCACACATTTTCTGGTTTCCCGTCGCTGCATCCCTCCCTTGCACCGCACACAGTTTCTGGTTTCCCGTCGCTGCATCCCTCCTTTGCACCGCACACAGTTTCTGGTTTCCCGTCACTGCATCCTTGCACCACATACATTCTCTGGTTTCCCATCACTGCAATGCTTTTCACCCCTCACATTCTCTGTTTTCCCTTGACTGCATGCCTTGCACTCAATTCTCTGGTTTCCCATCACTCTTGACCAGTTCTACATGGAAGATTCCCGGAACCGGATGTGCATGGAAGCTGAAGATCGTGTCATTACATTCTACCCATCCTTTGAGAAGCGTATGCGGGTTCTGCACGAGGTCATCTCCGAAAATTACATCGTGTCCTTCATTTTGCTGAAAGAGGCCATGGGGGATAAAACACGGCGTGATTCGTTCAAGCGCGTATGGACTCAATGGAAGAATGAGCGCGGTTTTTACATAAAAAGAACCGTACTTGAGGGCTTAGGGGTTGCTATGTGCGGGCTGCGCGCGGCGGAAATTCACGTCGATGTGAAAGTGAAGGAGGATCTCTGGAAAACTCATTGCCCGAGTGAGTGAACCGCAACTCTTCCCCCCCCTCCCCCCCTCTCCTCCACAATCACCCCATCCAATCTTTCACCACCCCATCTCACTCTCTTCTCAACTTGGCGTTGGCTCACATAGTCCATCTTAATACTCGAGTTCCACCCGTCCAACCACTCTCTTTACCATCCTTGTTCGAGCGTGTCGCAGGCGTGGACGACCCCCTGAGCACATGGGGGAATGCTGAGGATGGTGGCCTCCCGTTTGGCAATGACATCTTCTTCAACGCAGCTATGGATGCTTTCGGAGAATTCAGCGTGGGAGACGACTTGTGCTTGAAGGCGTATCACATCGCCTGGACTATCATGGTGGTGAGTGGTTTGTTATTGTGACCCCCTGTTTTCCCCTCCCCTCAATGAGCTGCGCCCACTCCCCTGTTTTCCCCTTCCCTCAATGAGCTGCGCCCACTCCCCTGTTTTCCCCTTCCCTCAATGAGCTGCGCCCACTCCCCTGTTTTCCCCTTCCCTCAATGAGCTACGCCCACTCCCCTGTTTTCCCCTCCCCTCAATGAGCTGCGCCCACTCCCCTGTGATTTATTGTTAATTCTCTGCGCCCATGGTTCCTAATCCCAACAATGTTGATTGACTACGGTCTGTCGAAGATTAAGAAGTCAACGATGAACCTCACCAACTCCCACCGAAAGAACACGAAGTGGGTTACAAGCATCCGCGACGTGGTTCGACGGGTGGTGAGGGATCATTTTAGCCAGGTCAATCCTGTCTACAACGCACGGATGAAGGGGTTCAGGTGGGGAACTTTCGGCTTGTTCGTCCATGAGTCAGGGTTCGAGGAGTATAGGCCCAGACCACAGCCCCGCAATCCGGCAGAGAGGGTGGCGGCAGGACCGATCTAGAGAGAAAAGGGGGAGGAGCAGCAGGGAGGAAGCAGCAGGGAGCGAGCAGCAGGGAGGGAGCAGCAGGGAGGAAGCAGAAGGGAGGTTGCAGCAGGGAGGGAGCAGCAGGGAGGAAGCAGCAGGGAGGAAGCAACAGGGAGGGAGCAGCATGGAGGAAGGAGCAGGGAGGAAGCAGCAGGGAGGAAGCAGCAGGGAGGAAGCAGCAAGGAGGGAGCAGCAGGGAGGAAGCAGCAGGAGGTTTCATCAGGGAGGGAGCAGCAGGGAGGAAGCAGCAGGGAGGAAGCAACAGGGAGGGAGCAGCATGGAGGAAGCAGCAGGGAGGAAGCAACAGGGAGGGAGCAGCAGGGAGGGAGCAGAAGGGAGGTTGCATCAGGGAGGGAGCAGCAGGGAGGAAGCAGCAGGGAGGAAGCAACAGGGAGGGAGCAGCATGGAGGAAGCAGCAGGGAGGAAGCAACAGGGAGGGAGCAGCAGGGAGGGAGCAGCAGGGAGGATGCAGAAGGGAGGAAGCAGCAGGGAGGAAGCAGCAGGGAGGAATCAGCAGGGAGGCAGAGGATTAACAGCAAATGAGAGAGCAGGTGAGGAGCTGCAAATGCATGGAGGACCATTGGAGTAACAGCCGTTCAAGGGCGGAAAGCAGTAACAACATGGGGGAGTAGCAGAGGAGTGACACCAAGGGGGCGGGGCACAAGAGTAATAGCACAGCAGGGAGGGAGCAGAGAAGTAACAGCAAGGGAGGTGGGGGTCCTGAGGAGTAACAACAAGGAACAGGGAGTAGAACAGCTGGGAGGGAGCAGCAGGGAGTAGCACAGCAGGGAGGAAACAAAGAAACACGGAGCAACATTGGGGGGAGCAGTGTGAGAGCAGCATTAGAGGGAGCAATGGCGGTGGGGGGAGCAGTAGATGAGCAGAAAGGGGTTGCCATTTTAGTAGCAGCAGGGGGGCTGAGTCATTAAGGAGTGGCTGGGTGGGAAGGAGCAGAGGAGAAGCCGTATGGGGCCGAGCGGTGCGGATATGCTGGGTGGAGTTGGGACCTAGGGTTGATAGCGGGTAGTAGTAGCGCAGGTGTCATTAACCAGGGAAGGACTACTAGTAGAGTAGGTAGGAACCAGAAAAATTAGTAGGCTACAAATGTCTTAGTACCCTTTTTGAAGTAATGTTATGATTTGCACGTACGCGCCTGCCATCTAAGGGGGAATTTATGGAAAGTGCTGTGCAGCCTGCAATGAACTACTATGAAATGTTATCCAAACCCCAAGTGTGTTTTCTGAAATCATGCATAACCATTTTCCGAATTTATGCTTGACACATAAAAGTGTTTAAAAAAACCTTAATCCTTGTCCACAAAAGAATCACATAAAGCTGCAGAATGTGCTCTAAACGAGTTTTCCAAAACTCCAGGAGAACTTCCGCCGAAGCATTTCAAAACTGATATAAAACATTGCTACCATCTACAAAGCATCTGACACAACATCTGGAAAAAGTTCGATACTTTCTTCGAAAAAAGTACCGACCCCTACATCTTCAAAGCACCTGCAAAAACACATCAAATACACATCATGAGAGGTTTCCAGCTACTTGATTTTTGTGATGGAGTATAATCATTACTCGCAACACCTTTTGCTGACTGCGCTGCGACCGCGGCAGCCTGACAGTGTCACGATGCCCCCTTTTGCGCTGTGCGGCAGGTGCTGCGGCGCTCTTTAGTGTCACCGCGTCTACATCAATCTTCCCGCCATTTATTCCCGACGGCAGCGGTGTTTCAGCCGCGGTGTCCGCCGCTGAGCCGCAAGGCGGCAGCAAGCCCTTGGCGGCAAAGCCCAAGGTTTTGCGTAAGTGTCTGCAGCGCTCTTCAAAAAGAGCCGTGCGTTTGCTGCAGCGGTTTTCAAAAACTTGCTGGCTGCAGGGTTCTTCAGGCGCAGGGGCATTGAATAGCGGCCACCCTCCGCAGTCCAGCCATGGTTTCCTTAATATTACTAGTAGTGTTCTACTATCGCGTGTTGCATTGCTGCGTTCCATAGTATTTTTCTGCAAGTCGCCCCTGCGAGTCGGACTAACCGCACTTCCCAAGTCCCTCAGGAGGTCTCATGCCATGCCTCTGTGCTTCTAGTACCCTTTCTACTCCTCACCTGTTGTCCTTCCACGTCCGTCCCCATCCCTGCCCTTCACGTTGTAAAGATAAATGGATGTTCAAGCTTCGTCCTACTAAGGTCAATGGCAAAGTGATTGGCGACAACGGGGCATCGGGAAAAGCAGCCTTAAAGACAGTCAAGTGCGTGCGTGCCGCTTTTCTCTCTGCTGCTACTACACGCAGTTTTTATCATGTACCCCCAAGTTTTTGCCCTCTTTAATGGGTGGCCTTGCTCTGTCCGCCACCCCTCCTCTTGTCCTACTCACGACCATCTCCCGTTATGTCATGTTCGCAGGTACTCCGACTCTGTGTACTATGCCGTATCTTTTATCAAAGTATTTAACATTAAATCTGGTGGACTGGCCCCTACCACAACCATCAGCACATCCTGCACTGATTTCTCTCTGACGGAAAGCGGACTCACTTGGAAAAACATCACCAGTAAGAACAGCAAGCTCAAGCGCTACAGCTTCAAGAGCGTGATGAAGTTTGGGCCGTCGGGGACTCTGGCTGAATCCAATGCCCTGATACAGCTGTCACTCTCCTTGGGTAAATACTTGATAGTTGGTCATGCTAGCAACGTTAATGCTGCACTCTGTGGGAAGGTGAAGAAAGTGAAGTAGTAATTTAGGTTTTCTCACCATGGCTGCTTCTGGCTGGCTCACCACCATGGCTGCTTCTGTTTGGTTCACTTCGGCTGCTTCTAGTTGGCTCACTTTGACTGTTTCTAGTTGCCTAACTTTGGCTGCTTTCGGTTGGCTAACTCTGGCTACTTCTGGTTTATTAGCTCACACAAAAACGTGAATCTGCCAAATTTTGTTTCATTGTAGGAAGTTATTGCATCAAGAGTTACGGATGAACAGTCCTGCAACAACCAATACCATAATCTCCCATGTACATGCCCTACCATACGATAAACCCCAAGCTTGGAGGACTTCTTTGAGAAGCTTTTCCCCGTGCACTTGGGAGCATGTGTCGAAAGTTATATTAGTTGGTTTAGGCTATAGTGAGTAGCACTCTAGGGAGTACAATGTCAAATTACAAACATGCTTGTTAGGCTTTGGTGGGCCACACAATATGGGGTACACATATTTTAGGGATTGTACTTGTACCCCCTCCTTGCTAGTGAACTCGATTTCGCTGTTTCTTAGATTAACATGGTATCATTGAGTAGGTTAGGTCCTGCCCGTTCCTGCTGCCCGTTACTGCCCCACGCTACCACGCTGCCCTGCCCTGCCACGAGCGCGCTACCTTGCCCTGCCCCGCGTGCACTTTTCTGCCCCGCGCGCTGCTGCCCCGCGCGCTACTGTTATGTGCGCCGTTGCACCGTGCGCACCGCTGCCCCGCGCCCCGCTGCCCTGCGCCCTGCTGCCCTGAGCGCCGCTGCCCCGCGCGCTGCTGTCCTGCGCGTCGCTGCCCCGCGCGACGCTGTACCGCACGCCCCGCGGCCCCGCGCGCCACTGCGCCGCACGCCGCTGCCCCGCGTGATGCTACCCCGAGCACCACTGCCCGTGCGGAGCTGCCGCCCGTGCGCCGCACCGCAGCCGATGCCGCCCTTGCACTGCTGCTGCTGCCTGTGCGCTGCACCTCCGCCGCTGCCTCCCGTGCGCCCCACCCTGCCAGTGCGCCGCACCGCCGCCGCTGCCGCCCGTGCGCCGCACCGTCGCCGCTGCCGCCCGTGTACCGCACCGCCGCTACTGCCGCCCTTGCGCCGCTGCCGCCCGAGCGCCGCTGCTCCCCGTGCACAAAACCGCCGCTACTGTCGCCCTTGCACCGCTGCCGCCCTTGCACCGTCGGTGCTGCTAGTGTGCGGCTGCCGCCCGAGCGCCACTGCTGCCCGTGCGCCGCGCTGCCGCCGCTGCCGTCCTGCGCAACTGCCGCTCGCGCACCGCCCGTATGCTCCGCCTACGCTGCTTGTGCCCACTGCCGCTAAGCCGCGCTGCCTACCATGGCGTACTGTACTGACCTTTGACGCAGAGGGCCGCCTAGCACACGTCTGGGTCCCTTAAGGCCCCGCCCACTCCGGATGCACCTACCCCTACTGCGTCAGCGGACGTGCAACAGTAGTATAGGACTGATCGCGTTGCCTGTACACAGTGGTTAGCACGAGATGCCACTGCCCAGCTTGCAGTTTGCAACCACCTCCCGCTCGACCAGAGGCCCCACTTTCGTCAGCTGAAAATGGCCAAAGCGCTCTATGACGCTGTAGTGAAGCGCTACTCCTTCCCCTCTTCTGCCACCCTAGGCCGTCTTGTCAGAATCCCAACCACTAGACCATTGGGATAAAAGGGCTTGTTAAGTAGCGGGTCAGTGCGCCCATAACCCCCCAGGACAACGAGCCTGTAACCCTTCCCTAGGATCAATCGGGGATCATCAGTGGACCTCTGACACCCCCCCGCACTGGGATGCGCGAAGTGCACACACTGGGATTCGAACCCGAGACCTTCGCTCGGATACCATGTCAGAATCCCAGCCACAAGACCAGTGGGATAAAAGGGCTTGTTAAGTAGCGGGTCAGTGCGCCCATAACCCCCCAGGACAACGAGCCTGTAACCCTTCCCTAGGATCAATCCGGGATCGCCAGTGGACCTCTGACACGTCTTACGCTGTCGTTTCTCTTCCCTGAGCTGTCTGACTTCACCTATATAGCCGACCTCATGACTCACCTCCGCTCAATTGTCGCGCGCTACCGTGCTGCTCTCAAGCCACACTTTCTGTCTGAGAAGCAGGCCCCCATGTATCTCACTCTTCCTCACGACTCGCCTCCCTGCCTCTCTTCGCGCCGTTCGAGACCACTTACTCTCAATAGACCTACTGAGCTCACCCTTGCCTCGTTTGAGACCCGTCTCCTCGAGGCCGAGACCAGTGTCCGCGCTGTCGCTGCCTCCCGTGACACCCCCAGCACCTTCTTTTTTGAGGGGTGCGCTCCCTCCCTTCTGGTGTCCTCTGTTGCCTCTGCTGCTGCTATTGACTTCCTCGGTGCCGAGGAGGCTGGAGCTGCGTCCGCTCCTAACGGGAGGCGCAACAGGCGTGCGCGCAAGAAGGGTGGGGGCGGTGGGGGTGGTGGAGGTAGCGGTAGCGGTGGCGGTGGCGAGGGTGGTGGCGGTGGCGGGGGTGGTGGCGGTGGCGGGGATGGTGGAGGTGGCGGCGGCAGTGGAGGTGGCGGGGGTGGTGGAGGCAATGGGGGTGGTGGAGGGGGCTCGGGTGGCGATCGAAGTGGAGCTGGCGGGGGTGGAGGCCCCGGTACGGCTACCCAGGGAGCTGCGTCTGGTGGTGCAGCACATGGAGGCGGAGGTTATGGGGGTGGACAGCAGCAGCAGCCGCGTCGACAGGAGACCCTCTCTCCGCAGCAGCTTCGTGAGTGGGTTGCCCAGCAAGGCTCCCCGGGTGGCGGTGGTCGCTGCCAGTACGTCCGCCGCACAGGTCCCC